TCCTTAAGGGGGTGGGCCAATACTACCACATGGCATATCTCTACCAACTAGAGGCCTAGAAACATGAACGATAGCTCTAGAAGCTTCTACAACCCTCTATGATTCATTACACGTCATCGCTCCTTAGTTACCCACAAGATTGGTTAAGTTATGACATAATTTGTCTATAGGTACTCTGACCTTGGACCTCCTTTTCACTTCCTATAGGCTAGGAACCCAAGAGATGGTTCTATGGAATTCTCTTACGTTCACTACATGATTAGCAAGCTAGTTGTGGGTCGCACTTGATTTCTAATACATTTACCAAGCCTGGTTAGTCATGGAAAGTCATGGAAAATGAGAGAACTACACTCCTTTGGCATAAATAGGATTGCCCTTTCCTTAAGAAAGGGCAAGCAGGCAATACAGTAAATCGACTATCACATACTTCCACGTCTTTTACAAGCTTCCAAGCATTGATCTTGTTATTCTCTGTTTTTGAAAAGTCAGTGAGGTGCTAACCTCTGACTTACCCCTGAGTTCTCAAACTCAACATTTGTTGCAACTTGTCTAAACCACTTCACCACATCATACACCTGATTGCTGCGTTGTGGAATAGTCTAAGCTACAACCCTTTGGCTCTGTTTCCTAAGACAGTGTGTTGTCTTAGTAAATTCATCCCTTCCTTGGGTGGCTAGATTCTCATATCTGGTGCACCCACCATTACAAGCTCCAGGATGAATTATGCAAGGATACAATCCGAAGACTACAGAACAACGAGCGAGATAGCCCAAATATAGCCTTAGCACATTGCGAAGAGAGAAATGGACTCCTACTCTACCTAAATCGAGTTTGGATCCCAGAAGACGTCCGAGTTAAACTCCTTCATGAGGTTCACGACCAGCCAGCAATGGGACACCCTGGAATTGGGAAGCTGATTCGAATCATTAAGAGACAGTACTACTGGCCCCAGATGGACAAGACTATCACTCAATATGTGAGGAATTGCCATACCTGCAAAAAACCAACCCGGGATACATACAATGGACTCCTACAACCAATCCCAATTGGAAGCCAACCATGGAAGGACATATCACTCAATTTTATTACAGGATTACCATTATGTGAAGGAAACAATTCTATCCTTGTAGTAGCATGCCGACTTACAAAAGAGCGTCATTTTATCCCATGCTTTGCAGGTAAAGAAGGCACTACAGCAGAAGCTACAGCGAGGTTACTACTCCAGCATGTATGGAAACACCATGGTTTACCAAATTCCATCATCTCAGACAGAGGGCCCCAGTTTGTAGCTGCAGTGTGGAAAATCCTCTGCAAAGTTTGGAAAGTTACAATCAGATTGTCTACAGCCTTCCACCCAGAAACGGATGGGCAAACTGAAAGGTTTAATGCAGAACTCGAGCGATATTTACGGGCTCATGTCAACTATCTCCAAGACAACTGGGTTGAATATCTTTGCATGGCTGAATTTGCAGCAAATGCCCTTCCATCAGACTCAACAAAAGTTAGCCCATTTTTTGCAAACAAGGGTTTCGAGCCAAGAATGAGCTTTGATATAGAGGATAGCACATTCCAAACTGCCCTTCAAGAACATAAGGACATAGCTCAAAACATGAAAGATATTTGGGAATTCCTACAAGACCAGATCGCCCTCTCACAAACCCGAATGGAGCACTTTGCAAATCAAAACAGGAAGCCAGCACCAAGATATAAGATAGGAGACCGAGTCTGGCTTTCTACTCAGAATATCAAAACCCAACGACCCTCAAAGAAACTTGACCATAAGCAAGTTGGTCCATTTCAAATCCTTGAGAGAATTGGGAATGTTGCATACCGACTCCAGCTACCACCAAGCATGAAGATACACCCTGTGTTTCATAGCAACCTCTTACGACTTGACTCAGATGATGCTTTACAAGGCCAGCACCATGAACCACCCCTGCCAATCGTTATAGAAGATGAACTTGAATGGGAAGTTGAAGAAATCCTAGATTCTAAATTCCTACGGAAGAAGCTGTTCTATATGGCAGCATGGAAGAACCACCCACCAGACAACACTTGGTATCCCGCTACAAACTTCAACAATGCACCTGAACTCACACAAGCTTTCCACCGAAAATACCCACAGAAGCCACAATGATCTTACTCTTGATCAGGAGATCAATCTTAGTAGGGGGGTGGGTAGTGTTACGACTATAGCTTACAGCTTGTTATGGTTGTTATGGTTGTTATGGTTGTTATGGTTGTTATGGTTGTTATGGTTGTTATGGTTGTTATGGTTGTTATGGTTGTTATGGTTGTTATGGTTGTTATGGTTGTTATGGTTGTTATGGTTGTTATGGTTGTTATGGTTGTTATGGTTGTTATGGTTGTTATGGTTGTTACGGTTGTTACGGTTATTATGGTTATTATGGGGATTACGGGTGTAGCCTTAGCCACAAGGTTACAACCGATGTTATGAGGAATAGCCTCACCTTCCTTCCTTCTTCTTCTTCTTCTCTCTTTAGATTCAATCTAGCTTATTATTCTCCAGACTGGCTTCTTGACCTCCGTGACCATCGTAACAAGGTTGACTTGACAGAGGAGGCAGGGGATTAGACACAAAGGCTTTCCAAGTAATACGTTACAGTATTGTAAAGAATACTATATTGAGTTGAGCACGAAGCTCCTATCTAAGGAAACACTATCTACTTATATAGTGGCGTCATGCCAAAGGGAGCTGTAAGGAACTGTACGGGTTCTAACAGTTCCATCCTAAGGAACTGTAGGAACTGTAGGAACTGTATGAGTTCCAACAGTCTTCACAGTTCCATCCTAAGTTCCGCCCCAAGGAACTGTAGGAACTGTAGAAGTTCCAACAATTCTCACAGTTCCATCCTGCAGGGTGACGTGGGGTCCTGTAGCATGACCTACTCGGCTAATAGCTCTGCCGATAGCTGTAACAATATCCTTTAGCCACTTAATGTTAGCTGCTTTGCTCTGCTAAAGCTTTGATAGAGACGTTAGATTGAAACCTTCGTATAGAACAGGCTAAACCATATTATAAAGCTTAAGTTCCTCTTTGCATTTAAAGAAGCATTTAAATGTACGCTGATAGAGTAGAACATCAAGAGCAGATTCTAAGCTATAGGACTAGTTATGTATAAGCTGTAGAATGTCCTCTCTCACTTGAATCTCCACTTAAGAACTCCTAACTCCTCTAATAGTTGAGAGGAACAATTAGGCTTTAAAGACTCCTTAAACTATAAGGGAGCTTGACTTTCAAACAGAGCATATTAAGAACTGCATTATACGGCATAAAAATGCCCTGGGTTACGCCGTCCGCTGCGTTACACGATGACTTGGGTTATGCACTTCTCGAAGCTGCCTCTGGCTGTCTCTTATCATGTCAATCTCAGCACATGTCATGTACCCATAGCTATTGCAAACCCGGCACGATGTCTGTCCAACGGATTCGCTCCGCAACCTGGCAGGTAATCAACCGATTGTACCCCCGCGGCACTTACCGCGGCACTTCCCACCCCATGCCCTGTCGGCGCACACAAACACACGTAGCCAGTGATGCCGATGCAGCAACCAACCCGGCACTTGGTGCAGACACGGAGTACCGGGTCCTCGGGGTCAGCTACGGACGGGATTCCGCGCGGGATTGGGAGGGGGGGGATGGGCCGTGGCAGGCTGTGTTGGACATGGCAGGATCGTGTTGGACATGGCAGGATCGTGGATGTGGTCGTGGCGGTTTAGCGGTTTCGTGGGGGGAGCACAGTACAGTACAGTAGCGGGCAGTAGGCTCCGTAGCTGGTTTCTTTCTACTGCCGCCGCTGCTTCTCCTCCCTCTTCCCTCGTTCTCCCTCTTCCCTCGTTCTCCCACATCCCACTTTTGCCACCCCACCACCCCACCACCCCACCACCCCACCACCCCACCACCCCACCACCCCACCCCACCACCCCACCACCCCCATACCTACCACCCACCCTAGAAGATCCCCCTACCTAACCCTAAAAGACCCCCCTACCCACCCTAGAAGTCTACCGCTATACCACCCACCCTACCACACATGCCACCTATACGCAACTATACCCGACGATACTCAAGCTAACTCAACTACTCTAACCTACTCTATACTCTATTCTCTCGACGTACAGCGTACCCCCTTTGCCACTCTGGTGGTCCTTTGTTCTTTTGCCTCTTCTAACGCTCTCCACTCTCCACTCACTCTCCACTCTCCACTCTCCACTCTCCACTCTCCACTCTCCACTCTCCACTCTCTACTCTTCACTTCTCACCTAATCTGCCACCAGCCACAGTGTCTCCTCGCCGACTCCACTGCTGTTACCACCGCACTTTTCTTTACCACCCTTACCCACTATACCGCCACCGTTTCTTCCTTCCCCTCCCCTCCCGGCCTTCCCGATTGATGGATCTCCACTATGATCGTCTAGTCCTTTAGCTCTAGTCCTCTAGTCTCTAGTCCTCCTTTAGCTAGCCCGCTACCCTTAGCCCTAGTCCTCTAGTCCTCTAGTTCTCTAGTCCCTAGTCCTCTAGTCCTCTAGTCCTCTAGTCCTCTAGTCCTCCTTTAGCTAGCCCGCTACCCTTAGCCCTCTAGTCCGTCCTCTAGTCCTTCTCTAGCTAGCCCTCTACCCTTAGCCCTCTAGTCCTCTAGTCCTCTAGTCCTTCTCTAGCTAGCCCTCTACCCTTAGCCCTCTAGTCCTCTAGTCCTTCTATAGCTAGCCCTCTAGTATAACTAAGGTAGAGTAACTATAGTAACTCTAGTACTACTAAAATACCAACTAATGCTATTGTAGTTTCCCATACTCGCGACTCTCGTCTTTCGTCAATTGTCGCCTACTATTGTCGCCTACTCCATCTCCCTCTCCGCCTTTTTTCCCTCGCCACCACTACCTACTACCACGCCTCCAACTTTACCCACCTCGAATTTGTTTATTCTTTCCTCTTTTCATATTGATCCCCCCTCCCTTCCTACCCCTCCCCCTCCCCCTCCCCCTCCGCCTCCCCCTCCGCCTCCCCCTCCCCTACCTTTACCCCCGGCAGCAACTTATATAGATCTTCCCTCGTTCAACGAAGTCCTTTTTATACCTACACTTACAGGCACAAGCAAAGAAGTCGCCTTTCTCTTCAATTCCCTTTTTTATCCTGACCGGTTCTCCTCCTTTGTCTCCATTTACATACACGTCTCTCTCCGCAGCCCTCGATCGACCGAACTACACTCCTCTCAGCCCGCAAAAAGTTGTCAAGACACGCCAGCGACGACGGCAGCAACCACGACACACACGACACACACGACACACACGACACACACGACACACACGACACACACGACACACACGACACACACGACACACACGACACACACGACACACGACACGACACGACACGACACGACACGCCCACCACCCAGATAAATACACTACCCCTCACGGCCTTATCCTTCCTCGGCATCTCAGATCACCAGGTCCCCCGAGTCCCCTCGAAATCTACATATACATCCATCAGAAGCCGCTCAAAACCCGCCACCACCCATCGAAGCGCAACGAAAACACCGCCGAACCTGGCGCGAACCTATGATCGATTTGCCGTTGCGAGAATACAAGCCTCCAAGCGGGCCAATATAAAGCCCTCTCTCCTCACGGCATACTCTGGACGTGTTGGCCAGACATAGCACTACTGTATGACTGACTTGGGGGACATCTTCGATGAGCTCGGCCTTACCCAGTATCTTGATAGTTTCCTCGACCAGGGTTTCGACACATGGGACACCATCCTTGACATCACGGAGCCGGACTTGTACGTGTGCTGCGCCGCCCAAATACTGGCATCTCACGGCGGAACTTACGGGACGGGATGCTAACTTCTCCGCAGCGACGTCCTCGGCGTGAAACTCGGCCACAGGAGGGTGCGCGAGACCCTTCCTCGAAACTTGAGACTCCCATGCTGACTTTTTTGCCCCAGAAACTCCAAAGGAAGATCGCAGCGACGAGAGGTATCAGCCATGCCCAAGCATTAGCGTCACCGAAGCGAGGCACGGCCTCGCTGGAGGACAAGCAGTCCGACGACACCAAGGGCGCCACGCCGAGGTCAGATGGCAAAGATGGCAACGCGTCGACCCAGCCGAGCGGGAAACGAAAATACAGGAGGCACCCCAAGCCGGACGAGAACGCTCCCGAGAGGCCGCCGTCCGCATATGTCATCTTCTCCAATAGTAAGGCGCCCCATGCCTCTGCGATTTCCAGGCACTAACAACGACGACAGAGATGCGCGAGGATCTGAAGGGCCGGCCGCTATCCTTCACCGAAATCGCCAAGTTGGTGGGAGAGAACTGGCAGAACCTGGCCCCGAGCGAGAAGGAGCTCTACGAGCAGCAGGCGTTTGCTGCGAAGGAGAAATACACGGTCGAGCTGGCGGAATACAGGCGGACGGAGAGCTATAGGACGTACTCGGAATATCTGATCGAGTTCAAGGCCAAGCAGCTGCAGCTACAAGAGAGTAATCAGGAGGGTAGGGTCATGTCCAGAGCGGATCCTAAAGGTCCAAAACTGACAGTGACAGCACTTAATGAGAATTCCAAGAGGCCAAAGCTCGAGAATATGAATACGAGCAACAACAGCACCACCACGAAAAGCAGCACCGCATCCAACCTGAGCCGTGAAGCCTCACTAGACTCCAGAACACGCGTCCCATCCCTCGGCCCCATCCCAGCGCCCTGGTTTCCAGCCGACACGGCACTACAGGCCCCGCTACCGCCAAGCACCAAGGCCCAGACGTCGCCTGGCGGACCCAGCACCGCGCTGCCAGGATACCGCGACACAGTCATCAACCCGAACCTGCAGACGGTCGCGTGGAGGGATCATGCCCGCGCGCCAGAGCTCCCAATACACGGGTACAACCGCCAGGTCGAGCCGAAGCTGAACCAGTCCGGGATCTTGAATGCGCCAGAGACGCCAACCGCGCAGGCCTTCCACAACCAGCCACGCCCGTCGCCGTCGTCGATTGGTGCTTTATCGCCGCCGTCCCTGACATCAGAATCGACCGTCTCGACGCAGCAGTCTACCTCGTCGTCCACGGCCGCTGACCCGCGTCAGAACACCTACTTCGCGCCTCGCATACCCCTGGACCCATCACGTGATAAGCCGTCATTCCCCATGCACCCGGCCTTCTCCCACAACAACTCCAAGGCACAGGCGCACTTCGACACCCTCCCACCCATCCGCCACCCCTCGCTCTCGCCGCAGCTGCCGGCGTCCATCTCGTACAACTCCCAGTCCGGTGAGTCGACACGCCGAGTTCCCACACTCTACCTCGAAACTAACAATGCCAGGCATCCTCGCCATGGACTACTCCTCCATCAACCAGGCCAGCCAGCGCACCGGCTACCTGTCCCCCACGCGCCCACTGCACCGGCCGCAGCCGCTCCCGCTACAGCTGCGCCATCCCCACCCGAAATCCCCGGACGACGATAACGCGCCGCTCAACCCCATCTCGACGCTTATTCGCGCGGGCGAGATAGTGAGTAATCAGGGCCGGCAGCAGCAGCTGCCGGAGAAGGCGCAGGGGGATCAGCACCAGCAAGATCCCTGGTGAAGCAGAAGGGGGGGGTATATAATACATACCATACCACCATCTTTTTCTCCCTTAACTATATACCCACGACGCGTCGTATCCGACATACACAGCGTCGCTATCACATACAGGTCCGGGTCCGGCTACCCGACAACTGACTGCGGGTACGCTACTTATTACCACCTTGATATGCGAAATCAACAACCATATTACAGCACCCCGCGCATCTAATCACCGCTCTGCACTCACTTGCATTGCGCGGAGAACACACATCGCATCACGAAACTAACTAAACCAACAAACGACGGCGCCGAGCGCTCTACATTGCTGGCGCGGGCGCGGCGTCCGCTCCCTATGCGGCTTTTTTTAGACTACCATGTCTCACCACACACCACTACATCATACACGTTATACACGTTTATTCCTGCGCTTGCATACATTACACGCCGTAACTACGGTCGGCGGCCGGTCGATACAGTGGCGTTGATATCGCTAGTGTGTGTGCGAGGAGAGAAAAGGAGAGAGAGAGAGAGAAGAGAGGAAAGAAATGAAGGAGAGGAGGAAAAGAGAGGAGGGGGGAGGAGAGTGGTTACTACCGTTTATACCCCGGCGATCAGGGACAGAGGACTACACCGATGGATGAATGGACGGCGGATGGAAGGGGAGTAGCTGGGGTCGTGGGTTGGTTGGTGGAGGTAGATTTGTGGAGGGGTTGTCTGTCTGTAGATAGATGCGGAAAGAAAGATGAGAGATAAGAGAGATAAGAGAGATGAGAGAGATGAGAGAGATGAGAGAGATGAGAGAGATGAGAGAGATGAGAGAGATGAGAGAGATGAGAGAGATGAGAGAGATGAGAGAGATGAGAGAGATGAGAGAGATGAGAGAGATGAGAGAGATGAGAGAGATGAGAGAGATGAGAGAGATGAGAGAGATGAGAGAGATGAGAGAGATGAGAGAGATGAGAGAGATGAGAGAGATGAGAGAGATGAGAGAGATAGGAGAGATAGGAGAGATAGGAGAGATAGGAGAGATAGGAGAGATAGGAGAGATAGGAGAGATAGGAGAGATAGGAGAGATAGGAGAGATAGGAGAGATGAGATAAGAAAGATATGAAAGTAATGGAAGTAATGAAAGTAATGAAAGATGAAATGTTTCCAAGACTTTGAGATGTGTGTGTGCAGGTGCTTTGTGTGTGTGTGTGAATAGATTCTGGGTGGGGTTTTATGTGTTAGTTATGTTTCTCGGAGAGATATATATACATATATGATCAAGGCAACCCTACCAGGACCAGTCTTGAGTTTGACCGCGCAATCATAATCAACTCAACCCTTCTAACCGTGGATGTGAAGCACTCTCAAGCCGTACTGGAGGTGGCGGGTGACGTCGTGGCACTCCTTCCCTCCTTCCCGGACTGCCTACTCTCGGAGGCATTGCTCCGTTCTTGCTGTTATTGGTCGTTCTTGCCGTCGTCGTTGGTCGTTCTTGCTGTCATTACTCGCTCTTGCCGTCGCCGTTGGTTCTTGCCATTGCTAATACTTTACTTCTGCTCTGGCTGGTTGCTGCTTCCTGGCTGAGCCCGAACCAGAGACCAGAGGATTGGGGGGGGGGGAGCAGAGAGCGGTTTTCCTAGCGGCCTTGTTGCCCTCGTCCCTCGTTATCCATAGAGGCATCGATATGGGACATTGTGCAACTTGGAATCTTCTATAGATCTCTCGGGTGAGTCGTCATCAAATAGCAATGGATGGTGATTTTGGCTATTTGATTGTCTCATACCTAGGGCGCAAAAGAAGGCGGGACGAGGGCACGAGATGTGGCTTGTCTATTTTTGTGTTCTAATTCACATACCCACACCCAAACCTCTCACAATACCCCCTCACCCCCACCACAACAAGCAGCATCACCAGCAGCATCAACAAATACCGCGGCCCCTTCCGTACAACAGCCGAGACAAGACGTTTTGCCGATACGGGGCGCGGGAGGGCGCGCACATGGCCGGGGGGAAGGATGCGGCGCGGTGTTCGTCGGAAGGGGTAACGCGCCCATATCAAAATCTTGTGTTGGGGGACGCGGAGCTCTCGTCTGGAGGGTGTAAGTTTCTCATCGCAGCATTCTCCGCCCTCCTCAGCGTGCACCTTCCCCCTATCACTCCGTCTCCGGTGCCTGGGACGTCTTCCCATTCGCGCGCTGCCTGCTGTGGTTGGGGGAGCCGGGTTGTTGTGAAAGCGGCTCTGTGCGAGGTGTGTGGCGAGGGCATGATCGTTGAGGAAGCTGCGGTGGCAGGGGTCACACTCAGGGTGCGATTCAGAGCGGCGGATGTGAGAGCGGAGGGCGAGGCGGGTTGGGAAGGTGAGGGTGCAGGGGGCGCAGGATGTTTGGGGGGGCATGGTTTGTTCCCCTTTTTTTTTGGAAAGGAGAATGGGAGCTTGGGGGAATTCGGGAAGGTTAGATGGCGGGGAGTGGATGGTTGATGTATGTTTCTGTGTTGGAGGCGGGAGGCCGATGGGGTGGTGATCCTGTTGGAGGAAGAGACGGGAATGTTCTGTGCGCAGCATGGAACGAGGGGCGGTTGATGGGATAATGAAAATATAAAAAACGACTTTGAATTTGCGGTAGATAGTTTCAGGGTCTCTTCGTTAGGGCCTTAGTCCTTGTTGTCTCGGGCTTTTGGAATGCGATATTCTGGCGTATATTCTGAACTCATTCTGTTCGGGTCGTCCGGTTTACGCCCGCTCATATGGTTGATTGAGTCCTTTTAAGAAGACTAGTTTTCATTGTTGGCCAACAAAGATTTCATCGGGGCCTTTCCCACCGCATCTATGGCATTTTTTACATATCTGTGCCCCCCGACATGGTAAATCGCCTTGCGGCTACTCTCGTCATCAGAATCAGGGTACAACACGAAAGGAACTGGGGTCTGAGGTGGATAGTCCGGCCAATCCAGCTGGGAAGATGCGGTGACGGGTCCATTCTGTGCCTTCGAACGTCTTCCTGCTGCCCACTCTGCGAGGAAGCTCCTAATTTTCTTGATCCCTCCATCGCCTGCTTCAATAGGCACCTTCACCTCCAATTCCGCCATTTCCTCTATGGCCGTGACGTCTTGCTCGTGGTGTGGAACGCTGAGAAAGTGACCATCCAGAGTGAGAATCTCGTATACGGTGACGAAAACGCCATCGACGTCGCTACGGTGCTGGTCCAGTCATGCTCGATCCTGAGATTAGCCCAGGGTTTCAGGTATTCTCACGAGGTAGCGAGCGCGTACGACGTGATCACTCGACGCAAATGTAGTTATGTCTAGAGAGTACCTGGAACCCTAGGCTAATCTCAGGATCGAGCATTGTGTTGCCCTGAGTAGATATCCTCTAGGACTATGTCGCATTGACCTAGAGCCCCTATAGGGCTAGTAGAAGCTATGGCTTTCTTAGGCTATATAGGGGTAAGTTGTGCTAGGCTAGCCTAGCAGGTGTAGATTTTTATGTAGAACTCTGTAACCTAGATGAGTGCTACGAAGTCTGCTAGTAAAAAAAAGCCAAAGGGTCGTAGCTTAGACTATTCCACAACGCAGCAATCAGGTGTATGATGTGGTGAAGTGGTTTAGACAAGTTGCAACAAATGTTGAGTTTGAGAACTCAGGGGTAAGTCAGAGGTTAGCACCTCACTGACTTTTCAAAAACAGAGAATAACAAGATCAATGCTTGGAAGCTTGTAAAAGACGTGGAAGTATGTGATAGTCGATTTACTGTATTGTTGTTACGACGGAACAAGAAGGCTGGCCAACTACAGGACAGGAAGGAGGGAGGTCGCATGAGTCCGGCCCTGGTGCCTGGAGGGGCAGCGGGGAATAGTAGTTCCGAAAGTATCACGTGACGGACTCGCAGGATGATGAGAAGAGTCCTAAGAGTCCAGGACTCCGAGGACTCGAGTGAGTTCCCAAGAGTCCACTAGGCACGACGCCACTATATAAGTAGATAGTATTCCCTTAGATAGGAGCTTCGTGCTCAACTCAATACAGTATTTGTTATATACTAGTAACGTGTTACTTGAAGCCTTTGTGTCTGATCCCCTGCCTCCTCTGATAAGTAAACCTTTACGCAAGAGAACCTCTGTGTCTTCTATCATTTAGAAGTCAGCGTTACACTTTGAGCACCACTTCTACGAGGCACTGGCTCATACACAAAGCAACATGTCTGTCGTCAGTTCGAAGGGGAAAACCCCCACCACGCCAACTTCGTCTCAGAGGTCTAAGCCTGAGAATGAAGAGATGCCCGACGCACCCACCGTCAACGAACTCAAGGAAACTCTATGCGTCAAGTTGCCCGACACTTACTCCGGCAACCGAAAGGAACTTGAGGTGTTTTTGCTACAGGTCGAACTGTACCAGCACTTCAATGACGAGAAGTTTCCCACCCAGGAGAGCTATGCCCTATGGACTGCGTCCTACCTTAGGGGGGAAGCCCTGCGATGGATCGAACCATTCCTCAAGGACTATTTCAAATATGAAAGTACCAATGGAAGCATGACAACTACGCAGACTATGTTTGGCAGCTGGAAAGGATTCTGTAAGGAAATCCGACGCATGTTCGGAGACATCGATGAGATTAAGACCGCAGAAGACCATCTGTTTGCACTTAAGCAGACTGGCAGCGCCCTCACATACTCCACAGAATTCCAGAGATACGGCAATCAGACAGGATGGGACGCCAGCGCACTCATCAGCCACTACCGACGTGGGCTGAAGAGCCATATACGTATGGAACTTGCCCGTTTGGAACAACAACCAACGGACATGGTAGCGCTAATCGAACATACGGTCCGAATCGACAATCGACTATACGAATTCCAGAAGGAACGTCGGACCTATGACAAGCCCAAGAAAAGTTACCCCTACCGGGGAAACGAGGGCAGACGACGGGATCAACACCCGCGAGACAACCGTTGGTCGGACCCAATGGAACTCGATGCCACGTTCAAACCTGGACGACCCCGTGACCCTAAGAAAGACAGACAATTCAAGGAACGACTCTGTTTTAACTGCGACAAGCCAGGCCACATGGCCCGAGACTGCAGACAGCCAAAGAAAGGGAACGGCGGACGCAAAGTCGGCAAGCAACTTAACGCCACCTGGACAGGACAGTTGAACGCAACGTTTGTGAGCAAACAGGACTGGGGAATAAACGGCGAAAGCACCCCAGAAGACGAGAGCTCAGACGAAGGGTCGGAGGCGGAATCGTTCACCGTCTCGGAACAGGAGACCTTCAATGAACTCGCACCTACGGAACCAATGAGTCCACGGTGCAAGAGCGTAGTAAGACGCATGGCAAAACACGCCCACGCGAAGATTAGGGCTGAACGAGACAAGCCCAGCGGCCAGAGGAGAATCCCCACGCTTAAGGGCATCTACGGGAACCTGTTACAGGAACTTCCGTTAAAATGCAAGGTGGACGACTGCAAGGATGACCTCTGGAGATACTACGACCAACTAACGAATACCCGCAGGCTGCTTGGCACGTCCCAAGACGTAGCTAAGTTGGAAGCCCAAGAAGCGGAAGAACTGGAGAAGGATGTCGAGCATATGGCTAAACTGAAGTATATGAAAAGCGTCAAACTTTACTACCAGGACCGCAGGAGAGCCCTGAAGAAGTACGACGAGAAAGCCAGAGATATGCTCCGACGGGAAAATGCGAGACCCACTCCACACATCGAAAGGAGAGCCATGGAGCAACTAGACACGTTCTCCACGCCTCCGAGGGAAGATAGTGCATGGGTGAGAGGACAGCAGGAACTATCAACGACAGACGCAACAGAGACTGATCATCCCTGGCACGCGTATGTCTACTGGGAGTATTGCAGCGAAGATGACTGCAAGCTCCACTGGAAAAAGAAACACCAGAATCAGTTGTTTCCCCGATCCTCGCCCAGGATACACTTCAGAGACGCAGAGCAAGTTCATGCCCTCAGGCGAAGCCAGTCTGAAGGGGACTTGCCTATCAAAAGCGAACAGGTATACGAGAAATACCCACATCTGCTAGATGAAGCAGAAGAACGAGGGAAACGATCTCCCCAAGGACCACCATTGGAAACGGATGAATACTATCCTTCCTCGGACGAGTCAAAAAACTAGGAGTCCTCGACGGTAGGCCACCGGCGAGCGACATGAAGAGGCCTAGTACAGACCAGCTATGCGCCACGATGGGCAGCATGCAACTATATGTGGTCGCTAAGATACAACAGCGACACCTCCGAGCAATGATTGACTCAGGAGCGACGGGCAACTTTATGACAAAGAAAGTAGCAGACACGCAAGGTTTCAAGACGCAATTGAAAACCGAACCATACCCGTTAATGGTCGTAGATGGAGAGCCCATCTCGACTAATGAAGGAATGGTGACCCACGAAACGGTCCCATTGGAAATGGTCATGCTACACGGGCACAAGGAAACGATTCAGTTTGACATCGTGCACATGGACAACCATGCGTGCATCCTTGGTATGCCATGGCTCAAGAAACACAACCCCCAGATCGACTGGTGGAATGAGAAAGTTGTGATGAGCCAGTGCGCGTGTGAACAACGGACGGACACGCGACAACGGGAGAAACCCTCCCAGGGCCGGAAGGAGTTATGTGCAACCTCCGAGCTCGATGACCTAGCCCAGGCATCCTCACCGATGAGTATACCGGTGGAGTACAAGGAATACGAGCAATTATTCCAGGAAGGCCCTAAGAACGAGGCGCTTCCTAAGCACCAACCATGGGATCACGAGATACCTTTGGAGAAAGACAAGAGTCCACCGTTCGGACCAATATATCAGCTATCGGAAAAGGAGCTGAAGGTACTTAAGGAGTACATTGATGATAACCTAGCGAAAGGATTCATCAGACCATCCACATCACCAGCAGGAAGTCCGGTGCTTTTCGTACCAAAGAAAGACGGCTCCCTACGGTTATGTGTGGACTATCGAGCGTTGAACAACATCACAATCAAGGACAGGTATGCCCTGCCGTTAATCAACGAACTACACGATAGATTTCAAGGAGCAAAGATCTTCAGTAAGCTAGATCTGCGAGGAGCATACAACCTGATCCGAATCAAGGCTGGGGAAGAGTGGAAAACAGCATTCCGCACCCGCTATGGCCTATTCGAGTATCAAGTCATGCCCTTTGGGCTAACAAACGCACCCGCATCTATGCAACGACTGATGAATGATGCTTTGCACGAATACTTAGACATCTTTACCATTGTCTACCTAGACGATGTCCTGGTGTATTCAACAACCAAGGAGGAGCATGTCAAGCATGTCAAACTCGTCCTGAAGAAACTAAAAGAGTACAGCTTACTCCTCAAACCAGAGAAGTGCGAGTTCCATAAAAACCAAGTCGAATTCTTGGGTTACATTATTGGAACGCACGGCATCAAGATGGACCAAGCAAAAGTAACGGCAGTGTTGGAATGGCCAACACCGACCACGGTCAAGGAAGTGCAAGCCTTCCTAGGCTTCGCCAACTTCTACCGGAGATTCATCTCGGGATATTCCAAGGTAGCTCAACCACTCACGGAGCTTACCAGAAAGGATCTCGAATTCAAATGGACGGACAAGGCAGAGGCTGCTTTCCAGGAACTTAAGACGAAGTTCACGGAAGCACCTATCCTTGCTACATTTGACCCTGCAAAGAAGATCATCCTCGAAACGGACTCTTCTGACTTCGCAATTGGAGCATGTCTGAATCAACCAGACGAGAACGGTAAGTTCAAACCAATCGCGTACTACTCTAGGAAACTGTCACCCGCGGAACTCAATTACGACATCCACGACAAGGAGCTACTGGCTATTGTCGTTGCCTTTGAGCAGTGGCGAGTATATCTTGAGGGACCCACCTACCCTGTGCAGGTATGGACGGATCACAAGAACCTCATATATTTCACCACAACCAAGGTTTTAAACCGCAGACAAGTCCGCTGGGCAGAAACCCTCGCAGCCTACAACTTCACGATAACCTATCGCAAGGGCTCCGAGAATGCAAGAGCAGATGCTCTCAGCAGACGGACCGACTACGCCGGCCCAAAGGAAGAAAGACCTAGAGCAATTCTGAAGAAAACAGATGCAGGAATACAGTACAACGAGTTACTAGCGACGATCTCAGTCATCGAAGATACAGAACTCGAGGAAAGACTCAAGAAAGCTTACGCAACAGACGAATGCGCCAAGCGAGTCTTGTCCAAAGTCGAAGGCGACTTCACCATCGACGAACAAGGATTGATTCGATACAAAGGGTTAGTGTATGTCCCAAGTCAAATGAGACGCCCGCTGGTGCAAGAACAACACTCGTTACCAGCACACGGTCATCAGGGAGTAACACGAACCTTTGAACGAATCACTCGACACTACTACTTCCCAGGTATGAGGAAGCAGGTAGAGACAGTGGTAAGAGAGTGCGACATTTGCAGCAAGTCAAAATCCAATAGGCACCTGCCATACGGACAACTCAAGTCGACACCAGTACCAAAAGGAGCGTGGAAATCAATAGCTTTGGACTTCATCGTCAAGCTTCCACCCTCCAAGGACCCGTTAACAGGAATAGAATATGACTCTATCCTCGTCATCACGGAAAGACTCACGAAATATGGGAAGTTTATACCATATCTAGAAGCTAGCGACGCCGAGGCGCTCGCATATACCTTCATTCGAGTCATATTAGCCGATCATGGGATGCCAGAAGAAATCATCTCAGATAGAGACAAGCTCTTTACTTCGAAATTCTGGAAATCATTGATGGCGCTACTGGGAACAAATCATAAGCTGTCAACAGCTTTTCATCCCCAGACAGACGGCCAAACAGAAAGATTAAATCAGACCCTTGAACAGTACCTGCGAAGCTATGTCAATCATCAACAGGATAACTGGGTTCAGATCGTACCCATCGCACAGTTTGCATATAACAGCGCGATGACAGAAGCAACGAAAGTCTCACCGTTCTTTGCCAATTATGGCTACCAGCCAGAAGCATATAGGCAACCAAGACCGGATGAATCACGAGCTGAACAAGCCCTGATCGTGGTGGAACAACTGAGATCGTTCCACGAACAACTTGCGACGGACATCCAATTCTTAAATGAACGATCCGCCGCATACGCAAACAAGAAGCGCAGTATGGAACCTGCCTTCAAGGAGGGGGATAAAGTATACCTACTCCGGAAACATATCAAAACGAAACGACCAAGCACAAAGTTGGACTTCAAGAAATTGGGACCATTCAAAATATTGAACAAAGTCAGCTCAGTTAATTACAGACTGCAGCTACCCAGGAAGTCTAGACTACACCCGGTATTTCATGTCTCACTACTGGAACCAGCAAGAGGAAATACCCCAATTGCGACCGACACCGAACTCCAACCCGAGAATGAGATAATCGAATATGAGGTCGAAGCGATCCTAGACAGAAGGTTAGTAGGACGTCGAGAAGAGTTTTTGATAAAATGGGAAAATTACGAACCTACGGATAATTCGTGGGAACCAACAAGGAACATCAGCAAAGAACTGCTGGAGGAATATCGACGCCGCCATCCGCCAGCCATTGATCCCAAGATGCAGGGGAGTAGGCCAGTGGATCGGAGGAAGCGGAGGTCCCGGTCACAGACGAGGAGGCAGCGCTAACTGCCTGTTCCTCGACCTCAACAGCGTCACGCTTCTCAGCAGCCACACGTTCGGCCTCCTCTGCCGCATCAAGCTCGTCGAGGGTTTTCAAACCTCGTCGGAGCATATCTTTACCACGGGTTCGGATGAGGCGTTTCTGCTTCCGCAGACGAAGTAACTTCGAAAGGGTTTCTTCCTCTTCGCGATCCAGGCGATCCTCCTCCCGTTCGAGCTTCACCCAGTCGGGATGCTCAGGACCCATACAGTCACACTTTTCTTTCAAGTTGCGACGAACGCACTCGGCGCACCGCCGTGAATCATTTGGAGACGACACGCAAGTAATGTTTCGCCTCACGCAGTTCGAGCAAGAATCCATTTCGGGTAGTTCGTATCCGTGGTTCTTTATTCGACGGACAAGATCGTTGCGTTCCTGGAGTTTGCGGGCAGTGTCAGTAGGCATGTTGCATGTTGAAGGACTCGCTGAGGAGCAGCAGAGTCCCGGGGACATGGACGTACTTATAGGATTCGAGACGAATGCCCAGGGGAAGGGAGCGAGTGTTACGACGGAACAAGAAGGCTGGCCAACTACAGGACAGGAAGGAGGGAGGTCGCATGAGTCCGGCCCTGGTGCCTGGAGGGGCAGCGGGGAATAGTAGTTCCGAAAGTATCACGTGACGGACTCGCAGGATGATGAGAAGAGTCCTAAGAGTCCAGGACTCCGAGGACTCGAGTGAGTTCCCAAGAGTCCACTAGGCACGACGCCACTATATAAGTAGATAGTATTCCCTTAGATAGGAGCTTCGTGCTCAACTCAATACAGTATTTGTTATATACTAGTAACGTGTTACTTGAAGCCTTTGTGTCTGATCCCCTGCCTCCTCTGATAAGTAAACCTTTACGCAAGAGAACCTCTGTGTCTTCTATCATTTAGAAGTCAGCGTTACAATTGTCTGCTTGCCCTTTCTTAAGGAAAGGGCAATCCTATTTATGCTAAAGGAGTGTAGTTCTCTCATTCTCCAAGACTTTCCATGATTACCAGGCTTGGTAACTGTAGTCGACGTAAGAGAATCCCATAGAACCATCTCTTAGGTTCGTAGCCTATAGGAAGTAAAAGGAGGTCCAAGGTCAGAGTACCCCTATAGACCAATTATGTCATAGACAAATTATGTCATAACTTAACCAATCTTGTGGGTAACTAAAGAGCGATGACATGTAATGAATCATAGAGGTTCGTAGGAGCTTTTAGAGCTATCGTTCATGCTCCTAGGCCTCTAGTTGGTAGAGATATGTCATGTGGTAGTATGAGTGATGTCATGTAACGAATCATAGAGGGTTGTAGAGATATGCTATGTGGTAATATCGGCCCAGTAACTAAGGAGCGATGACGTGTAATGAATCATAGATGGTTGTAGCAATCGTTGAGTAGTATTGCTCTTGTTGTTGGTGTGATAAGCCAAAATATGTATAGTGACTTGTAGGTTTGAGGAGGAGATTTCCAAGTTTGCTCTTGAGTTTGATAGCAAACTGAGTGCAACGAATGTCAGTATGACAATAATATCCAGCCACAGGATATTTACAACTTTGATGAGACTTGATTCCGAGTAGGAGTAGCACCAGGAGAAGAGGTGGTTGTTCCAGCATATATCACAGAAGTTCGTACAGTTTATTATTCTTAGATGCTTTAAGCTTACTTATTTAAGATGTATGTTCCTATGGCTGAAAACTGCAAATCTGTCACAGTGATCGAGTCTATCTGTGCTATTGGGAAAGAGTATCCACCTGTGATTATTGTACAAGGACGCCAGCATATGGAGTCTTGGTATCATGAAAAATTGAATGGCGACGAATTAGTCTTGCTTTCAGATTCAGGATATATGAATATTCATCCATATCCCTTTCTGTCACATCTTACTCATGTGATGCAACCTCTTGATGTTGGTGTTTTCCAACCATATAAACACTGGCATAAGAAAGCAGTTCAACTACGCAATGCGGAGCTTAGATATTGATTACAATATAGCCTCATTCTTCCGCAATTTATCAGAGATTCGCAAGAACACATTTAAAAAGGGAACCATTATAGGAGCCTTTCGCGACTCTGGAATGTGGCCAATCAACTCCCAAGAAGCTTTGAAGAAAATGAGGGTATATGCTCCTCTTGAGCATCAAGAAGACTGTCAAGAAATTCCAAGAACACCAACGAAATTTATACATTCAGAGCTAAAACTTCAACACTGGCAAGCTAGAATACCAGATCTACTGTCTAGTCCATCAGCTCTAGAGTGGAATTCCTGGGCATGCGGTACTGAAAACATGCTTGCATACGGAGAGCTTGCAGTCCTACAGCATGATTTACTATCTATAAAGGTTGCAAATCAACAGAAGGCTAAGATCCGAAGTCGCTCTGTTCTTCAGACAACTAGTGGTCCGTTAACAGCAAGAGATGCACAGAAAAAGAAAGAAGACAAGGCTAAAAAACATAAGGAATCACAGGAGCGGACTGCAAATTATAGGTTACAGATTGCACTGAGCAAAGTCAAGAAGGCACTCCACAAGCGTGGAGTAGAAGCATGCAAAGCTGAGCAGGCAAGAAAGCGTCAAGTTAGTATTCTGTTAAAGGCAAATAAGGAGGTTCCTCTTGATTTACTTGAGCCAATTCAAGACCCAGAGAAATTAGCTCAAGAATCAGAGCTCCAAGAAGAAGCTACCTCCCAGCTAATTTCAACAATGGGCTATTCACAGTCGCAAGTAGACGAAGATGAGGATACTGGTTTTATTAGATTCAGTGGGTTAGATGTGGAGGAGAGCGATAGCTTTTTTGTAGACCATGAGCTTGATCTTGAGGACAATTTAGATTCTGGTTTATTTTGACATTAGGAATAGCTTATCATTTACAGTCAAAAGTCATGGTACATTTATTACGATGGTGGTTGTATTATACACTTGATTGCTGCGTTGTGGAATAGTCTAAGCTATAACCCTTTGGCTCTGTTTCCAAAGACAGTGTGTTGTCTTAGTAAAATCATCCCCCTATATACCAATACTATCTGGTGGTGTGCAACTTGCTTTCCGTGTGCAACTTGCTTTCCGAACACCGACGATTACGTTATATAGTTAGTACAAAGGTAGTGTTTACAACAACTATAAATTAAAACAACACACTTAGTCACTTAAAGCTACAATTAATGAGCTACCTATTTAGACCAGCTATTTAGATATGGAGATAAAGAGATAATTTCTGTCAGTTTAAATTAGCAGTATGAATCTTCAGATGTGATCAGTCTCCCGGAGGCAATTCGCGGCAACCGGATTAACAGTAAAGCCGAATACCCGATGCGTCTGGCGAGTTTAAGTTCACCAAGCTACTACAAGCTTTCGAAGGACGACGTCAACAACATCCCTAACACAACCCTTTCTCTACGGCCTCGACGTCTAAACCTACAAAGATGCTTGCCCGGACCGAATTGTGCCTGCGCACAGCAGCTGTGAACTGCCGGTTCCAGCCGTCGCTCACGGCTACCAACTCATATCACACAACCATTCCGTCAAAGAACCAGCCGCAACACCCACAAACCAGCCGACCGGGGCTCGTCACATCTAAGAAATCTCCTTCGCAATCAACTTCTGAGGTCGTTAGATACGCATCGACCACTGCCTCTACGGACAACACAGCTTCGACAGCACAACCTTCCACTTCCTCGGCAGACCAGCTTACCTGGAACGCGTTCTTTAAGCTCCGCAAGACAAGGAGGCGCATACAGCTCGGCTCATCCGTGGGAACAAGTTTCGGTGGTATGCTGGCTGGTGCACAGGCGCTGGCCGTCTCGGATATGGATAGCCTCGTTGGGCAGGTGCCGTTGGACCCCTTCATCACACTTGGCTTGATTACTTTCAGCTGCGGAGGGGTTGGGTGGCTCCTAGGGCCCATTGTCGGGACGGGGATCTTCAATACGATGAACCGGAAGTATATACCGGATATGGCGGCGGTAAGTGCCCTTCGGATTGCTAGTTTTGGGGGAATGGAGGCTAATTTGTCGACAGAAAGAGGTAGAGTTTTATAAGCGCGTCAGGAAGTTCAGAGTCGACCCTTCGGCGTCGTCAATGGCGAACCCGGTGCCTGATTACTATGGAGAGAAGATATCGAGTGTGGCTGGGTACAGGCAATGGCTCAAGGACCAAAGGGCGTTCAACAAGAAGCGAACGACTTATGTTGCTTAAAGTGTGTAAGGATTGTGGGGCATCATTGAAATAAAATGAGTATTTTGAAACTCTTATGTACAATTGCAATATGTGGCTAAATATGCTACACCGACATTAGAGTCTCTCCCTGTAGGTGCATATCGAAGGAGTAGCGGAGGTGCTACTGAGGAAAGAACACTCTAGATCCAATCACTCATTTATATTTCCTATTTGACAAGAATTTATTATAATGTGACTAATGTGCCTATATGCCTCTAATATTCTGGCCAGCTGCTATCAACATCTTTTTTCCATGCCCTCAAGCCCCCCTTTATGTCTAATATTGACCTCTTCCCTTTGTCACCGAGCCCGCTCTCTTTAAGCTTTCTCGTAACGACCTGGGAGTCGTTCCCAAGTCGGCAGATTATATATATCGGTGCATCAGCAGGACATGTCTCTGGTAGCCAAGGATAGGTCGTGTCGAGATCCCTCTGCAACTTCGAGAATGGGACATTGATACTCCCATCAACATGGCAAATATCGAACTGAACCTTCTCCCTCACATCTAATAGGACGTGCTCCTTTTTGGAATCACCATTTCTCAACTCCGAATATTGCGCAGCCGATATCTGCTCCTCGGCCAATAGAAGATTAACTGGCGCTGCCGAACCGCAAAAAGCCACATAGTCCAAGGACCCCGACGTCAAAGACTCTGGAGTCAACCCCGCCTGGGATGAGCAAGCAAAGCAATCCGGTCGTCTTTGCCGCAATCGAACGGTGCGGAATGGACTTGGACTGTTGGCTGAAAAAAGAAGAAGTGAGGGAGATGGTAGAACCTTCAACTCCTGAAGTTCTGCATCATCAGAGGTATGGCTAACCTGTAGCCCAGCTGTTATTAGCTTGATAGCTTCAATGGCTTGTAAAACACCCATAACGCCAACAACAGGACCGAGGATGCCTCCATCGCCGCAGCTGACAACTTGGTTTGCGGGCGGTGGCTTGGGAAATATGCATCTGTAGCAAGGGCCGCCAGCATTAGATCCTTGAGGTGCTGCTGGGTGGTTAAGAATAGTGAGCTGGCCATCAGTCCGCAGTGCTGAAGCGGAGACTAGCGGTTTTTGGAGCAAAACGCAGATGTCTGATATGAGATACCTCGACTTGGGATGATCTGTGCAGTCGAGGACTATGTCATAATAAGAGACAATGTTTGCCGCATTTCCAGGTGACAAGTGCTCTCGATATGCTCTGTACTCGACGTTGGGGTTGAGACCTTTAAGGCTGTGGATGGCACTGTCTACCTTCCACAGACCAACGGTAGAGCTGCTGTGGAGGATTTGCCGGTGCAGGTTTGATACCTCTACCGTGTCACCGTCGACTATCCCGAGAGATTTAACGCCTGCACCGGCAATATATGCAGCGGCTGGGCAGCCTAATCCCCCGGCCCCAATTATGAGAACGGATGCGCCATGAAGACGTAGTTGACCTTCTTTAGTTAGTTTCATGACGGGCTTTGGAAGTGGTATTAAAATGCTGACCTTGGATACCAATACTTGGTATAATCATTTGACGCCCATATCGTAAATATTCCTCAGCTGTGAGAGGCCACTTGCTATGCTTTAGGCTCTCGAGTTCATCTGGCCTCTCCTCACGGCGTCCGATACGAGGACCCCGCGTTTCGACCTCCGCAAGCTCTTCCTTGAGATTCTCCAGTCTCAGCTCCGTCGCTAAAATAAGCTGCCTCAAAGCCCGTGCCTCATCGTTTTCTGACTCCATGCTACACTGTTTAATTTAAAGACATTATTTTATTTCTTCGTTGAGTATTATCGAAGTTAAACCACGATGAGGAAGGGACGACCCAGCCATAACGTGCACGGGCCTTATGGCGGGGCAGAAACACCAGACCTATACCAAGGCCTCAGCCTTGCGGCTTCACAACCTCACGACGGTCAAAAAATCCACCACAATGGGGCAACCAGTATTTAACAAGGAGCTACACATTAAGTACTGGCATCGCTGCCTTAAATCTGTATTGCCTACAGAATATACCAGCACCGACTCCTCACGACTCTCGTTGGGCTTCTTTATCCTATCTGCATTCGACCTGCTCGGTGTCGGTGGAGAACAACTAGACCGCAAAGATGTAGCTGGTCTCAAGCAATGGATCCTCAATTGCGAGCACCCAAACGGGGGGTTTTGTGGAAGCCCGAATCACAAATACCCAAGTGCATACTATCGGACCGCGACGGACACTCCGTCTGACATGGATCCCGCAAATTTACCAGCGACATTCTTCGCTCTCATGGCCCTAAACTTTGTGGGCAAGGTTGGCGAGGTGGACCGCAAAAAGTGTTTGAAGTGGCTACAGAAGCTTCAACGAGAAGATGGCAGTTTTGGAGAAACGTTGGGGAAGGATGGAAAGATTGAAGGAGGGCGGGATATGCGATATTGTCAGTGCGCTGCGGCAATACGGTGGATACTAAGAGGGGATTTGAAGTCAAAAAGCCAAAAGGAGGTTGATGATATCAATGTTGATGGATTGGTCGGGCATATACGCAAGGCGGAGGTAAGTTGGGAGTCCAGTTGGCTGAGGCCAAAGCTAACTTCTTGAAGACTTATGATGGAGGTTTTGGGGAGAGCTTCGAACATGAGTCTCATGCTGGCTATACATACTGTGGAATTGCTTCTTTGAGCAATCTGGGCCGTCTCCCAGGATCATTATCGAAGTCTGAGTCGGGGGCTGAGCCTTCAGATTCAAAATTAACTGGTGTTACCAACCTCCAGGATACCATTCGCTGGTTAATGTCACGACAAGTCAACTATGTAGAGTCTGATGACGAGGAAGACGACGAGGAGCCCCAAACAAAACCAGAAGTATCTTCAAACCCCACGAATAACGAAATAGAGCAACTGGCAGCGGTAGGGTTATCTCTGGAAGACACATATGCTATTGGGTGCAACGGCAGGCTCAACAAGGGGCCCGATACATGCTACAGCTTTTGGGTTGATGCATCTCTTTATGTGAGTACATGTCTCAAATGAAGTAACTCGATACTAACAAATAAAGATCCTCGGCCAATCCAAGCTCATCAATAGAGAGGGATCGCGACGTTGGCTTATCGAAAAGACGCAACATATGATAGGGGGATTTGCCAAGGAACCAGGCTACCCTCCTGGTATGATACACTGTTCCGCTTATCGTTTGACCTACCACTAATATAAAGAAGATATTTATCACTCTTACCTTGGTTTGGGCACATTAGCAATGCTCGGAGAACCAGACTTGAAGACCTTTGACCCTGTGTTATGTGCCAGCCAGGAGGCAAAATCCAAGATCGAACGCGACATCGCGGAATTCTTAGAGCCGGATGCCCCAGGAAAGTCTGTGTGGGACAACATAGTTCTTATGGGAGATATGGCCCCAGTCTCGGACGGTAAGTTTCCCAAGTTCTGGACCGATGCTGAAGAAAAGCACAAGAAAATGAAAGAAGAGGGGACCCTTCCATTCCAGCCCTTTGCGCCACAAAATGTGTGGAGCGGCGAAACTTAGGATATAGACTTGTATGAATGATACCCAAATCCGAAAGTTTCTATGGAGTGTTAAATTTGATAAGATTGCGAATATACCAAAATATCCAGTAAGCCCTGTCATAATTCTCCCTCAACGAAATAACATTTTGCTCGAGCGTTAATTGTCGAAGATGATGAAATATGGCACCCTCAACCCTCAGATCCTGCTTTCTTCCAGGCCTTCTTTGCTGCCGTTGGGTCCCATTCCTCGTCTTGTAGCATGCCACTATCAATAATCTCTGTGAAATTATTTACACTCAGTAAAATGCCCACCTTTTCATTTTCCCCTTTGCGATACAACTCCTTGTATTCAGACACCGGTAAGACCCTATAGCCGCATCTATCGATTAAACCATTAAGAGATCCCGGAGTAGACGATGTAGAGTTCATTATTATGCCGATATCTGCATTGAGCAGAGGAGAGAGGTCTGTTGGTGAATCGCCTATGTATACTGTGAGAGGCTCCGGGGAACTGAAGCCGATGTCGAAGCAGTACAACATCATCTTGTCTTGGGCGAGGAGCTTGTCAGCAGTTGTAAGGAGGTGAGTGCGTTTAGCAGACAACTGGTGGTCATCAGTATTGATCGTTGTCTTCAAGAGATCATAACACACCCTATCTAACCGCCAACCTTCAATCATGCCCGTCGAATGGTTAATATCGTTCGTCGTGAGATTGCAAAGATCGATTTGACTCGAAACCCACCCCTCCTCTCCCAAAGCCGCATCTAATACCCCTCGCACCCACGCCCGACTCCAGTTCACACTCACAATCCCCCATTGAGCCTCAATTTGCCCCATCCATGTAACAAACTCTGGAAAGCCTTCCCTTACTACTACCGCCCCATCATTTCCATCCTGAGGGTCACCTGCTGTTGCGGCCCTTCCCTTCTCTCGCAAAGACTCCTTTGAAAGTCCCTCAAAAATACCTGATTCTCCCACTCTTTTCACGCTAGCCCATTCGACATCCTTCAGCGCGTCTAAGGAGCGTTGTTCCTTCTCCAGCCCACCGGGTCCCGTGACTACACCGCCATCACTGGGTTCTTGGTTTTCCTTCTCATAGTGCGCCGAGAGGTCAGCCAAATACTGAGATTTACAGTTGCTCCATATCTCGGCTGGTGGAGTTTGGCTAAATTGAGAAGGTGATAGGGATGGGTACTGGAGGGCAACGGCAGACTGGGCGAGGGCTTCGATGGTATCTTTTGTAGTTATTGTGCCATCGAAATCGAGGACTATCTGGAAAGATCGGTGATGGAGTCGGTGATGGGGCATAATGGGTGAAGAATCATGATAGGTTGTGAAAGGTTGCGACAAGGCTGGCACTGCCGCTCTTGGGCAAAATGCCGGAGCGAACATTCCGAGATACAGGCGTCGGGAGAGGATCATAGTTTGGGGGCTGAGACAGCGGCGGCAAGATGAAGTCGACGATATTAGACGCTAGCTGATCATTTATGCGCATTTGAAGGGAATCAGAGCATTTTTAGCTTGAATGAGACGATCTATGACTCTGATTAAAGTTTTACTCACTCGAACCTCAAAACACGTGACATTTATATTTATGAGGTGGTTAAGGGTCCCCCGCTACATAAATAATTCTATCCAAAATTATTGTAGTCTAGCGAAGCTAGCAAAAGCTTCTTATATCCTTCCACTGCTTCTTCCAAGTCTGAAATCTTCAGGTGTTCATGATCTGAGTGCGCCAGGAGGATACTTCCAGGACCATACAGATACCGTTTGTGATCACCATCCAAGTGCAATATATCAGTTCCATAGTTGACGACCATCGACTCAAAGCCTGAAATCCTCATTAGCAATTACTCCTCATTTGCTAGCATCTCTGCTTACCTTCAACATCATGGTTAATTGGTATTGGCCCATAGCCTCCGGGGGCCATCGTGATTTTCAAGTCCGGCGAGACAGCGAGCAAGGTGTCACTGATGGCCCTCTCCAGTACTTCAGGGTCACCATCCGCTACACGTACAGACACGAACGCGTATGCATCCGCGGCAATAACGTTGTCCGCCACGCCCCCTTCCATACGACCTATGTTGTATGTGGTATTACCGAATCTCTCACTCCACGGCCAATCAATGTTCGCCAGTTCCGCCAGGGCAGGAATTAACATGTCGTTTGCATTCCGTCCGACTTCAGGGTATCCTGAATGACCGCCTTTGCCGTGGGCGTCGATGCGAAATTTCAAGATTCCTTTGTGCCCGCTGGCAAGCTTGAGCTCTGTTGGCTCTCCGAAAATGACAGTCTCCCAAGAGAGCCCCAGATCGTTGACTTTCAGCATTCCTGCACCGTTCACCTCTTCACCAACCACAAACATCATACCCACATCGCCTTCGGAGATCGACTTGGAGTCACGCAGTGCTTCTACGGCTTTGATTTGTGTGGCAACAGCGCCTTTTGCGTCGACGGTCCCACGCCCCCATATCTCATCACCACGGCGCTCATACGGCCAGTACGGAGGAACTGTATCGATGTGCGATGTTATCAGCGTCCGTGTGTGGCTTTCGGAGCCGATATATGCGAATATGTTCGTTTGTGGTGGATCTGTGGATACAACCTGGGACTTGACCGTGAAGCCTTCTCCTTCTAGATAGGACGCCAGCCATTTGGCAACATCATGTTCTGCGCCACTGATCGAGGGGATCTCAACCAGGGATTTGTGGAGGCTCAAGAGGCCGACGAGCGAGGAGGATTCAGCTTTAGAGTCTGTGTTATATAGTGGCATTTGCGGGCTAATTGAGAGCGCTGAGATGGCATAGCTAGCAAGGAAAACATTTGCCAAAGCCGCCCTTATAAAAACCACCGAGAACTGCATTTTAACCGTGAAGTGAATAGCAATTCGTGATATCACCACTTGGCTCAATACCTGACGTCGTAGACGAATGCACGGACTGTAAGTTACGCTATGGCAGCTGCCCACCCCGGCTCGGAGAAACCCTACGCCTAAACAGCCCGATCTGAGCAAGGGTTTGCTTACCTTATCGTCGCTGCCTCATACATTTCAGGTCGCCAGCTCGCATGCCAACAATGAAACCGTGTCAAACATTTATTGCTTGATCTTCAACTCTTGTTCTCACCATCTACTGCCTCCTCGTATATCCATTTTGTGCGCGCAAGCTGAGTAAAAATATTAGCTAGCTAGCTACGATGGCTCTCATCAACGCGGGCACCATCATCCGCTCAATATGCCTGTTTCATATCACTCTGGGGTTCTTTTTCCTCACGTCGCCTCATACTGTGGCTGACCAAACACTCGTCTTTATCATGGGTGAAGCTATGGGCCTTGTGCGTTGCATCCTATCTCCTTCGTATGCGCCACCACTAACATTCCTTCTAGCCTCACGTTCGCGCGTTCGACTCTCCATCTGCGCCACTCGCTTTCCTGGGAGTTGTACTGGCCTTCTGGGGCTTCAGCGACCTCATTGCCGTCTCCCAGCCCGAAGAAATCGCAAACCACTACTGGTCATCCCAAGCTCCCATCCGTCTCGTCCTCTTCTTCGCCTTGTCCGGTTATAGCTACCTGTTTTCGGCAAAGTCGCCAATGTATAAGGCGTCCGGATACATAACGAGCTCGTGGGGCGAGGGCTTGAAGAACAGGGTCTTGTTTACGTGGGCGTTTGTGGAGATGATTACGTGGTTCTGGATATGGACTACGTTGAGGGAGGAACGGAGGGACATGCTGGTTAAGGCGCAGGAAAAGAGGGCGCAGGAAGACGATCGGTTATAAGACACATGTCACGAATGATACGAAATTGTCACGTTAATTTAATTGAATGTCTGTTATTTTCAGGTGCCGAAATATACTATCCGTGGAGTGATGTGAGATCTGTGCATCAGAACTAGACATACATCCTTAAACGCGTCCCATCTGCTAGCCATGCGTTTCCTAGTTCGCTATGCACCGCGCCATAACCATGCTCATGACTTCGCTCAAACAGAATCTTTCACTTCTTAACCTCATCCACACGAAGAGCCGCCAGTCCGATGACCGATTCCTTCCAGCTGTCCACCACCTCTCCAACCCACCACTCACAAAACTCTTGCCCGAGCTCTTGCGCAACCCAACGTCCTGGTGTATGGGCAAACTTGGGGTGCCACCAGTCCATAATCGCAACATCTGGGTTACCTACTGGTTCCTCCCACAGCCAAGTCATCACCCTGTCGATCCAGCCTCCGCCATTCATTTTCACCTTAACTTTTTCAGCGGTGTTAGCCACCAATTGTTGGACCTCCCTAGCATGTACAGCCAGGCCATCCATTACCTCACAAGTCTTGGGATGGGTCTCGACCGCCTTGCTGTTGACGAACTTAGCCGCCGCGATGACCAGCGATGTCGTCTCGTGCGCGAGATACAGCGGGTGCAATGTCCCGTTGAAGCTGGGGTGGTATCTTATGGCACTGAGGTCGATTTTGCAGACATTCTTGAGATTCCCCAAGAATTTGGTGATATTTGTAACAGGTTGGCGTACGCCCCTGTTATGGGTCACGTCGTGCTTCGGGTTCTCGAGGCAGGTGGTGATGATGAAATGAGCGAGGGCAACGGCAACGGCATGCTGGCATACTTCATGTCCAGTCATGTCAATTCCCACCCTGAGGCTTTCCATAACGGAGAACGATCTCTCGAGACCTTTGAGAGCAGAGTTGGTTTTTGATTTGCCATCAGTTTGGTTGCGGAAAAGCATCCAGAGCTCATCCACCAGCAAAGCACTACGGGCACGGAAATCCTATTAATTGTTAGCAAGGCCCGTATTCAGTCTGCGATATAAGTGATAGACCTACACTTGGTGGCGGCCCTAAGCGTAGCCACATTTCGACCGAGGGGCAACTAGAGGTCTCGAAATCGGGGTAGCACTTGTAATCCAAGTTATTGGCGAACTGGTTGGTTATTGGGTCGGACGCTGTCTACCGTTAGCTTAATCCGTACCGTCGGATTCCTTCAAACTCACGAAGCAAATCATATCCCTGGCTCTGTTTGGTCAAAACCGCATTTTGGTCTGTCATACGCACTATCTTGCGCAGCTCAATGACGGTTATCGCAGTTCCGATGCTGCGGGACAACTTGTCAGAGGCATTCACGAGTTGGCAAACTGAATCGTAGCTTCCAGCTTCAAATGATCTCTTGCAGTTGTTATTGATCTGGGTGCGGACATTTCCGTACATGCGCTGAACGTTGGCAATATTAGCCGCAGGATCGAGAGTCTGGGCAGTGCCATTGATCTCATCTTGAACTGGGTGCGGATGGAGAGACGAAATCCTGTCAAAGATGATGTATCCAAGCGTATCGCCTTGAATCTGTTTGATGTTCAACTTGTTGTAAGCCCTCAAAGCAAGAGAGCCTGCACCCATCATGGAGTATAGTTTGACCAGCAGCAGTAGGATTTGAGTATTCGCAGCTGACTTAGAGTGAGCAAACTCGAGTAAGGCCGCCGCTTGAATGAGACGCTGATGGCCATGCCTTATTTCAAATTCATCTGGTTTGGCCCAGTATCGACTGTATGGGGTTGCTGTCAACTTAATAAGGCTGATTGCAGCCATAATAGCCATGTCATCAAGGGGGTGGGTATCAGTTGAAAGCAGCTTCAAATGATTAGGTATTCCAATGGGGCGTCCTTCAACCCATGGTCCTCCGATATTGAAACCCTTCATGGCGGTGGAATAATCTCTGACGAGCCTCATGACGTTTGCTTTCTGGCATCGCTCGCACCACACATAACGCTTATTTCCGCACCAAGCGCAGGTAGTGTACTCGTCATTGGACTCGATAGTAGACGCGATAGACTCATAGTCGGCCCCATTTGGGATAGGGGGAAGGTTGCAATTGTGGTAGAAAATTTCCAACTTCTGCAATGTAACATGGGACGTACGCAGCCCAACATCCGATAGCTATTCACTGTTAATATGATCACCGGTATTTCGACTGCGAGTTTGTGATGCTTACCTCTTCTCGTGGTGCAATAACAGGCTTTTCCACATCTTCTACCTCATCCACCCAAGCCCACGGAAATCGAAGGCCCAGAATAGGAATTCCCTTGCCAAATAACTCCGCGATCTCTCCCTGTGAAAACGTCTCAACATAGCGTTTCACATCGCCAAATGCTGAAGCTGTATGGCCATATTGCGACAGGTGCGTCATAAGTGCGGCTTGTCTAGGGTCAATTCCGGAGAAACGAGACCCTGACGGGATCACAAAGGTACGATTTTTGCCGTCTTTCTGCAATTCGAAGCAGAAAGATAGATTCGCCAATGAAGCGTTTCGCTTGTATGTTTTGTTGAGGCCCGAAGTAGGAGCTAGGTGTGATTTGACTTGGTCACGAACTTTGTCGTGAGACCTGCCAACGTCAGTGCATGTTTGATATAGTAAGGCTCTCACTAACGATTCTTGCTTTGACTTACTCTTTGGTTTGGAGGGCAATTGCGGCGGTGATAAACGCTTCCCACACTTTCCAATCAGCGCCTCTAGAATCAATCATATTACCCGTAGTAGTTGACTGTGCTCCCTCCAATAGTTCGTTACAGACATCAACCAGTTCCTGCCATTCTCCTTCATCCTCCAATAGAATAACATGATCTCTCTTGAAAACCCATTCTCCTTTGGCAATATTTGAAGAGACCCCAATATATGGGTCTTTATAAGCCTTCAAACGAGCTGCAGTCTGGCCGGTGACCTCCAATATTCTGTGGTATAGCAAAAGCTCCTGTGGGGTTTGAAGAGACCTAACCGGGAGAGGAGATTTCCCCTAAACTTGGTCAGCATGGATTGTACATGACGAATGATGTGGTTTGGTACATACAGCTGCTGCGATGGTGGCATCTGCAAATGTCTGCATGATGCGGCTTGCTACAGTCAGCAAAATATGTCTCTTCTGTGGATCACATTCACGGGTTTCCTATATTAGGTCAGCTATTGATTCCCATACGCAGATAGATAACTACTCACAGTGAAGGTAAGGATAGCAGTGAGTTTCCAAAAAGGATACTCATGGTTTCCCGGGAAGTTCTTCTCAAGGACGGTGGCAATCTGACAGTCGGTTAGTATAAAGTCTGTTGATGATATTGCTTGTTTGAAACGGATCTTCAGAACAATGACACAAATCTGTTGTAACAGATCTTGGAGAACATTGGAGCAAAGATTGGGGGATGTAGAATAATGCCCAATAAAATACTTTCGATCTGAACGTACCTGTTGTGCGTAATCCCAATCGGAACGCCTGACACAAACATGGAAACAATCTTGGGCGAGTTTCTCTTTCTTCGGGTTTGCCCTCACAGCTGCGAGACGCATCTTCGACGTGAAAGCAGCCGCCTTCTTTTCCTCTTGATTAGAAAACATGGCTGCGGCAGCTTCTTCATAAATATTCAGCTCATCAATATCTGAGATGATCTCCTTGCAACCTGGCTGGCTCAGGGTTGCGAGACGAATGTATGCTGTGTTTCTGTGAACAGCCAGATCGTGCTGTGATTGTATAAAGCACCTCAAAGCCTAGATAGGTCAGCTCTGACAAGGCCAACAAGTATTTAGACAGTTGGTGTTGGCTAGTGTCCCACCGCTTGAAAGGGAAGTATAACAAGGAGGACTGTGCACGTGACTGTATGTCTTAAAGCGGCGACCCATTGGATGCCGAGATGAGTGAAAGTGACTTACCACCAAGTACGTGTCACTGGTCTTAGCTAAGCGTTTCTCTACAAGCTTCAACGCCTGCCTGAAGTCCCCGGCCTCAATGGCATTGCATATAGGGACATGCTGCTGTGTCCGTGGGTCCGGGAAGAAGGCCCCCATTTTGGGCTGCTGCGCCGACGACGCCAACCGAGACAGCACAGAATGTTAGGAGAGCGACACTGTGCACCATACGCTTCTCGAACGAAAGCCAGCAAGCTTCCGTAGCAGTTGGATGTTGGAATATGAGATCGGTGATATGGTGGTTCGTTGACCCCAAATTGGTTTGGATAGAGAAGAGGCTATAAACGCGAAAAAAACCACATAATGTTTTGTGTTTCTGAGCCACTTGATTTATTTCGCTTCGCATGCTGCTTTAAGCCGCTGGGCCTTGACAAGACAGGTACGGCCGAGTCAGGACTACATCGTGACAAGGGGATTATCGCTGGGAGCAAAGTACGATTGTTATTGTAAATACATTTAATCTCTGGTGTTTACTGATGATTTTCTAAATGAAGTTCAATTTATATTTCCCCTCTGAGACCTTTCAAGGGCAAAAGTTACTCCGTAGCGCTCCACGGGTTTCATAGGAAGGGTGTCACCATAACTAACTTAACTAAGTTAACTAGAGTAAGTATCTTATGTAAGCATCACTTTAAGCTAACTTATATGTGGATAGCGTCAAAACCTTAAGTCCGCACCACAGACGTGTTTGGACAAATCTCGCGCTAGTACTCACGCGATAATGGGCAATTCGACGTTGGGTTGTCGACACCTAAACTACTGCCATGCCCTTGTTCATGTTCGCCTCCTTCAAGCAACAGGCTTGTCGAAGCTGACACCTGCTCTTTATCCTCATATATGAGCAGTTAAACTATCATTACGACTGATCATTTGCTTAGAAAATCGAAAAGCTGCCTTAGATCCCAAGGCACGCATCAAGGGACCCTTTTTATTTGGCAGCCTCACTTTTGACGCAGCCTTCGTCACATCACCAACACTTCATCCTCCACCTGCCTAAACGATACACAGCCATTATGGCGCCCTCTAGGACCTCTCGGAGGGAGAGCGTAATCTCACTTGAAACCCCCGAAAGAAGCTTAGTTGCCCAAGAATCAGTTGCCACAGCTGGCACGTCAACAGTTGCGATGGCGAAGTCCTCATCGGAGATAACGCCAAGTATGGGGGTGAGGCTCTTTCTTTTGCCACCGACCTATATTTGTACGTGTTTTTATTAACGTATTCTATTCAATAGCCCGCGGATATCTTCAAGGCCGACCTCGAGAATATAAAATCGCTCGTCACTTGCACCATTTGTGACCAGCTTCTCTACGAACCATGGATGCTCGCATGTGGGCATACCTATTGTTACAGTGTATGTCTTCTGAATATCAGCAGCTCAGATCAATATTGCTGGGATAGGTTCTGTGGAATGTATCAAACTAACTTCCCTAGTGTCTGTGCAACTGGTTTTTGCCAAATAGACGGTCCAAGTCGTGCCCAGACTGCCGAAGTGCAGTTAAGGCAATGCCTGCTCCGGCATTCGTGGTATGTGTTATACAATTCCCAAGTCTAGTGTATATACAGAAGCCAGAGCTAACAATCCCTTATAGATCAAGCAGCTGGCGGAGGTATTTGTGAGCCGCGTTGAGCTTATGCCAGCCGATGAAAGTACGGAACAGCACGTCAAAAGGCGAAAGGAAGAAAATCAGGCGGTTGAGACCGACAGGATTTCCGACGAAGGGTTGTTTAAGGGCTGTTTCAGCACTGCCCGGCTAGGCAATATACGTTACGACGAAGCTGACCGTATGCACGTTTGCTCTCACTGTGGGCACGAGTTTACAGGGGGTCCGTTGTGCGAAAACTGCGGCGTGGACTTTGAGGGAGAGGACGAAGCTATACGAGACGACTTCAGCGACTTGGAAGAAATGGAGTTCGATTTGGACGAGGAAGAGGACGGAGATGCGGAGGAGGGCGAAGATGATATTGAGGATGAGGACTATTTCCATGGCAGGGATCCTCGAGAAGGGCTGGATTGGTTCGATCCGTTTGATGGGGCCGTCCAATTTGAAGATGTCCGCCAGCTGCTTGAAGATCACCCAGCTCACCACCACCACCACCATCATCACCACCCTCATTATCATCACCTTCTTCACCCCATGCATATGGAAGCCCGAGTGTCTCGTGCGAGAGGCGAGCATTCAGACGAGAGCGAGGAAGAAGAAAGCGACGGCGACGAGACAACATCATCAATGATGGACTTTATTGAGCCAGATGATAGCTCTCCTGCAGTTGGGCGCAGGTCAAGGCCTCAAATTATAGACAGCGATAGCGATGACTCGGATGAAGAAGATGAGGAGGAAGAGGAAGAAGAGGAAGTGGTGTCATCGAGACCGCGCCTACAGGCAAGGAGGCGGCCTAATCGACCAATTGTAGTGGACTCAGACTCGGAAGTTTCAGCCGATTCTGGAGATGGTCAAGGAGAGTCAGAGGGAGCAAATCACCCTGACATAGGCGATGAGCATGAATCCGATAGCTCTGCTAGGAATGGTGGTTATAGTCCCTTGGACCACGGTGATGATAGCGAAAATGATGAAGCTGAGCCGTTTGCTGCAGTCGACCACCATTCGGGCACCGGCGACTCTGAAACCACAGTTGGCCGCCACGAATTGGATGACGAAGATGATAGGGGTGCAACAAGCTGCAATGATGGACCTGCGGTATCCCGTCGTGGTGGCGAAGCAGCTACACAGAGATGTCCGTTCCACAGACGTAGCGGATCGACGGCGAAGACGCAGCGCGAGCGAATATCGGCGGGACCACAAGGTTCCAGGGAGCAAAGCCTCGAGGAAAATTTAGAGGACCGTGACGAGGAACGGATATCCTCGCCCGCAGCTGTATACGACGCGTCGGACGACGAGAATGAGGCCACTGATGAAGACGGAGATATCGAAATGGACGCGAAGTCGGGTATGAGGGGCAGTGTTCCAGAGCCTGACCTATTAAGTCACAACGCTTTGGATGAATTTTTCCCCAATCCTGAGATATGGTTGGAGCAACCTGCTCCTCCAGCTCCAAGGGCTCGGCGTAGGCGAGGAGCTCCTGCCCAAATGTCACCTACACAAGAGTATGACCCCCGGATTAGTATGATGTTTGCACAGCATCAATCTGACTTGAGGGACGCAACAGCTCGTGAAAGCCCACTTTACGAAGGCCAAAGGGATGCCCCCCGCAGGATCGAAGCACCGTCGAGATCGCGGCGGCGAGCCCAATACCGTCTGGCTCCACCAATTTTAAGTAACCGATTTGGACCTAATCGCGAACCAATTGCCATATCGTCATCTGCGAGGCCAGGGAGGGCTCACAGGAATCGACGGGAGTATCGGGCTTAAGGGGAACAAGGGTGGGGCGTTTGGAACAAGGAAAGGGCCAGCGAGGAGTTATTCGCATTGCAGACTAGCATTCGCACAAAAACAAGTGTATGAAGCTGTATGGTTGTAATGAAATACTAATTATTTATAAAATGTCAATGCATGGATTACAACAACTATTTGCCCCTGTAATCGCGATTCTTGTGACACCCGCGATAATGTTAAAATGCACTAGACGCTCGGACCATGCCAAACCTCCCTATCATTAGAGCGATTCAGCAGGTGTTAGACACCTCATTCGACAGTCCTGTATGTAGTTAGTGTAGAAAATTTGACTAGGAACCCAGTATAAACCCTGTACAAACCCTGCTCGCTGCGAACTCCACCATTTCTTAAATAGGAAGTAAGACTGTCGGTGTTAGACAATTATCTGTTCAAGGCTAACAGCCAGCTAGATTCCTATTGTAGTTAGAATATAAGTTAGTAATTACCTTAGATAGACATCATGTAATTGTAAGGCGAATACAGTAGTATAGCAGTATATACGACGATCTACATATGTCGCTCTGTATAAGTGATAATTATGGCCTTAAAGCCGCTCGAATTCCTGGGTTATTGTAATGGTGGGTGCACCAGATGTGAGAATCTAGCCACCCAAGGAAGGGATGATTTTACTAAGACAACACACTGTCTTAGGAAACAGAGCCAAAGGGTCGTAGCTTAGACTATTCCACAACGCAGCAATCAGGTGTATGATGTAGTGGAGTGGTTTATGTAATGGTGGGTGCACCAGATGTGTGTCATACTGACATTCGTTGCACTCAGTTTGCTATCAAACTCAAGAGCAAATCTCCTCCTCAAACCTACAAGTCAACATACATATCTTGGCTTATCACATCAACAACAGAAGCAATACTACTCAACGATTGCTGCAAACTCTTCGACTACATCTGTTTATGCTACATACATCACGGTATATCATTTGGACACTCATTGAACAAGTTATTAAGAAAATCTCCTCCTTAAGGGGGTGGGCCAATACTACCACATGGCATATCTCTACCAACTAGAGGCCTAGGAAGATGAACGATAGCTCTAGAAGCTTCTACAACCCTCTATGATTCATTACACGTCATCGCTCCTTAGTTACCCACAAGATTGGTTAAGTTATGACATAATTTATCTATAGGTACTCTGACCTTGGACCTCCTTTTCACTTCCTATAGGCTAGGAACCCAAGAGATGGTTCTATGGGATTCTCTTACATTCGCTACATGATTAGCAAGCTAGTTGTGGGTCGCACTTGATTTCTAATACATTTACCAAGCCTGGTTAGTCATGGAAAGTCATGGAAAATGAGAGAACTACACTCCTTTGGCATAAATAGGATTGCCCTTTCCTTAAGAAAGGGCAAGCAGGCAATACAGTAAATTGACTATCACATACTTCCACGTCTTTTCCAAGCTTCCAAGCATTGATCTTGTTACTCCTTGTTTCTGAAAAGTCAGTGAGGTGTTAACCTCTGACTTACCCCTGAGTTCCCAGACTCAACATTTGTTGCAACTTGTCTGAACCACTTCATCACATCATACACCTGATTGCTGCGTTGTGGAATAGTCTAAGCTACGACCCTTTGGCTCTGTTTCCTAAGACAGTGTGTTGTCTTAGTAAATTCATCCCTTCCTTGGGTGGCTAGATTCTCACATTGTAATGGTGGGTGCACCAGATATGAGAATCTAGCCACCCAAGGAAGGGATGAATTTACTAAGACAACACACTGTCTTAGGAAACAGAGCCAAAGGGTCGTAGCTTAGACTATTCCACAACGCAGCAATCAGGTGTATGATGTGGTGAAGTGGTTTAGACAAGTTGCAACAAATGTTGAGTTTGAGAACTCAGGGGTAAGTCAGAGGTTAGCACCTCACTGACTTTTCAAAAACAGAGAATAACAAGATCAATGCTTGGAAGCTTGTAAAAGACGTGGAAGTATGTGATAGTCGATTTACTGTATTGTCTGCTTGCCCTTTCTTAAGGAAAGGGCAATCCTATTTATGCTAAAGGAGTGTAGTTCTCTCATTCTCCAAGACTTTCCATGATTACCAGGCTTGGTAACTGTAGTCGACGTAAGAGAATCCCATAGAACCATCTCTTAGGTTCGTAGCCTATAGGAAGTAAAAGGAGGTCCAAGGTCAGAGTACCCCTATAGACCAATTATGTCATAGACAAATTATGTCATAACTTAACCAATCTTGTGGGTAACTAAAGAGCGATAACATGTAATGAATCATAGAGGTTCGTAGGAGCTTTTAGAGCTATCGTTCATGCTCCTAGGCCTCTAGTTGGTAGAGATATGTCATGTGGTAGTATGAGTGATGTCATGTAATGAATCATAGAGGGTTGTAGAGATATGCTATGTGGTAATATCGGCCCAGTAACTAAGGAGCGATGACGTGTAATGAATCATAGATGGTTGTAGCAATCGTTGAGTAGTATTGCTCTTGTTGTTGTTGTGATAAGCCAAAATATGTATAGTGACTTGTAGGTTTGAGGAGGAGATTTCCAAGTTTGCTCTTGAGTTTGATAGCAAACTGAGTGCAACGAATGTCACTATGACATAGAGCAAGTAGGTGGTGATTCTTAGGACGCTGAGAAGAAGAGGATAAGTGTGGCGAAGGAGAAGCTCGGTATGGAGACTGAATTGGCGATAGAGCAGGACTGTCGTCATCTTCAATAACGTTGACATTGTCTAACTCCTCACTGCCCACTAATTGCTGTCCCTGGAGTGCAGGAAGGGTATTCTGAGGTGACGGTAGTGGTGGGTTAATACCCTGCTTGTCTTTCATTGTCATAAGCATTGAAGCCCGGGCAAGGTAAGAAGCTTCACTCTTGGCACCAATATTGCCTCGATATTCCTTTCGCTGGCGTATTACAGCTGTCAGTTTTACACTGCCTGTTTTGGTGGTGCCAAGCCAGGCTAGAGTAGTACTAGAATAGATTAGTATTAGAGCAACTGAATCCTTGTTTAGTGCTTACCGAATACCCTAATTAGGCAATATAAAATTGCACCCAATCGATTGAGGCTTAAGAAGTTGTGATTTTAGTGATTTTAGTGATTTAGTGATTTGGTGATTTGCCTGGAGTGCGTCTATCTAGCGTCGTCTAAAGAGAATAGTTGGAATAGTAGACTCCCTTACTATTCCTGCTATTCCATTACGTGTATTGACCAATATCCTCTATAGCTGCTGCGAAGTCGTTCATCTTATCATATGATAGATGTGGCGCCCAGGCAAGAGTTGAACCAAACCGGGCAACTAAATACTGGCAGGTATCGTTAAATACAATACTCAACCAAGTACTAGATCGACCGAAGATCCAGATACTCGTACTCCACCGACCTGGGTAAGCTAGACGGGCAAGTACAACACATAAAGCAGTCTCTGGGTAGGCAATAACCCGACTACGATATACGATATCATCAAGGCGAAGGAGTGGTAGAAGCAGTTGGATTTCCTCAATTGAAAATCTATATAGTAATTAGTATAGTATAGTATACTATTTATTTGAATAAGAAGGTATATTTACCGAAGATAATGCTTTACTTTAACTGGTGAATCCTGACCCCACGATGTAAGACTCCAGGTCTTCTGCTCATATTGGAGTGGCGGCCGGTATCGACGCTGAGATCTTTCGAACTGAAGCTGGCGGCGGCGACGGCGTACCCGTAAAAGGAGTAGACTGGTAGCAATAGCAGCTATTACTATTTGCTGTCTATGAACTGGCATTAGAACGCTGGTGTTGGTGCTGGTGTTGGTACTGGTGTTGGTGCTGTCATTTGAGAATTTGCAACGCTTTAGAAGGTACTTCGTAGAAATGCGTCTATAACCAATTTTATATGGCAATTGCATCAGGGGTAAGTACTATTTCTAGCTAACAAAACCCGTAAGCAGGAAAATATCATTTTGGCGTGGTGGCGGTCACAAAAGGGTACATATAGGTACTTCCACTTGCATATATATTCGTATGGCAATAGAAGTATCATGATGTATCTTTTCGCGGCCGCTACCACCACTCCCCCCACCCGCCCAGTTTCAAAGCACTTACTGAAGTAGAAAAATTTATCAAAGGCCAGTATTCTACAGAGGGAACAAAGGGCTCTAGTCACATAGGGGATTACAAAGGGAACGCCGTAGGGGGTATGGCCGGAAGGGGAGAATTACATACAATTTACTAGTAATTTTTTCTCGCCAAAATGGCCAAGTCCAGCGTTGTAAAATGGGAAGGATTCAAGCAGGTCCCAAAATTGTCACTTAGGGGGTAATGCGAATTTTGATATTACTATATTAGGCATAGCTACTTCTATTAGCTAGGGTCTATGAGTGCTACAACCAACTGAGCCTAGGCTATATACTACGCCTCTATAGTGGCTTGACACCTTCTTCTTCAGGCCTTGGCCAACAACTGTTCGGCCTGGCTGCTAAAGCCATCTAATAGGCCGTAGCACATGGGTTGGATCCCTGCCCAAAGCCACTTTCGAACGACCAACGGCCCGTGTATGACCTCTGTAAATTTGTTTTTGTGTTAAATAAATCGTGTACGAACCCGAGAAAGCACCTCGATCCCTCGAGAAATATTATATTCCCCGCCTCCCGCAATCTCTAGACCCCAACAAAAGCCTGCCAAACCCTCTCTCGAACCGCGCGCTCTGGAACTCCAATCGGCTCATCTCCGCATTGGCGACGCGGCTTGAATGTTCGCGCAGGCGTCTACAGGATCTTTTAGGCGGCGCAGACGGTGATCGTTGGTATGCAGGCGGCTAAGCTGAAGGCTGACTCCCAGGGCCGGAAAGCTAAGGTGTGTAATTTATCCCCGGGGGTGGTGGTGGTGGTGGCCGCCTCTCGCGATTTCCGACAACAAAGTGCTGAGCTGACGCCTTGCGATTGTAGCTTGCGAACTCGTACCAGCAGCTGTTGGAGTTAGCTGAACCCGAAATATCGACCTGAATGAGGCGGTGCTGACTTGCGTGTAGGGAGTTCTCATCCAAGGACTTGCGCTCGGTGGGAAATTATACGTTGGGGAGGCTGATTGGAACGGGGAGCTTTGGGAAGGTCTATTTGGCCGCGCATAAGCTTACGAATGGCTCGAAGGTGTGTATATCTGGCACAACTGGTGTGGACTGGGATACTGATCTTTGGCTAGGTTGTGTTGAAGTCGGCGAAGAAGGATGACTCGAATCTTGCGCGCGAAATACACCACCACCGACAATTCTTACATCCTCATATCGCGCGATTATATGAAGTCATAGTCACTGAGAACCTAGTATGGCTGGTGTTGGAATACTGTCCTGGTATGTAGACAGCCTTGCTTGGGTGAGGAATCGAGAGCTAATGGTACGCGCAGGCGATGAATTGTATAACTACCTCCTGAAAGAAGGCGCCCTTCCCGTCGGTAAGGTGCAAAAGATATTCGCGCAGCTCGTCGGCGCTGTCTCATACGTCCACAACCTCTCCTGCGTACACCGCGACCTCAAGCTCGAAAATATATTATTAGACAAAAACGAAAACGTGAAGCTTTGCGATTTTGGTTTCACACGCGAATATGAGGGGAAGTCAAGCTATCTGCAGACATTCTGTGGGACTGTTGCATACAGCGCTCCGGAGATGCTTAAGGGAGAGAAATATGCCGGGGAGAAGGTCGATATCTGGAGTTTAGGAGTTATTTTATACGCAGTGCTATGCGGAGAGCTGCCCTTTGACGAAGACGACGAACAACTTATGCGGGCCAAGATATTAAAAGACGACCCGAAATACCCAGACCACCTACCACAAGAAGCACGTGCACTTATAGGGAAGCTATTGTCAAAACGACCACTACTGAGACCGACTCTGTCGGATATACTTGCGGATCCGTTTTTGGCCGAGCATGCACCGCAACAACAAGCTATTCTGAAGCTGCAGCAACCCTCTCCATTCTCGACTCCATTAGAAAAAGAGGTCTTGGAGCGTATGCGAAGTTCTGGCGTGGAAATAGACCATGTAATAGAGAACGTCTTGGCCAAGCGCTGTGATCCATTGAGCGGATGGTGGACTCTCCTCCTGGAGAAGGAAGAACGCAAGCACAGTCGGCGTGAGCAAAAACGGAGAGAGAAAGAAGCCGAGATACGAGCAAATCGAAGGCTCAGCGCTGCCAGCAGCCGTCGTGCACCTACACTCAGAGACGTCGATGAAGAGGATGGAGACTCGACCCTTCGACCCGATCCTCCGAAAGGCCGAGGCAGGAAGGAGAGGAGAAGCGCACATTACCCCGAACTTGTTCTCACCGACCTTCCTGGGCTACCCGAGAATTCACTACTTAACTCACCACTTGGTAGCAATCCGCCGCCGCCCATCGAAAAGGATAATGTCCGCTCGGTCAGCTCGTCACGTCACCGCAGGCCCATACCGCCGCCCAAAGAGGGCACGATACGAGGCGCAAGAAGCCGCGGAAGCACGCTTCAACTAGTTACTTCCTCCAACCCCGACCTCCTCCATCCTAACACGGCAGTTCGGGCTCCTCGTCGACGACATCAGTACCCCTTCCTGGCACAGCTCACGCACTGGAAACAGTGGCTCATCACATCTACAAAGCGCGGGCGATCCCCAAACGCCAAAGCTAGCACGTCAACACCTAATCTAGTTCCAAAGTCCTCGATGTCGCCAAACGTCGGAGGTCCCAAAACTCCCAACTCTAGACCCCAACCCCCCCACTCTTCCTCGCTGGGTCCACCCCTCGCCAACGGCAAACAAGGCTACCCCGCCCCGCCACGGATCTACACCGGCTCCTCATCCAACAAGCGGCACTCCCTCTCCCCATCCCCCCTAACGCCTCGCTCCACCTTCCGCCGCGGCTCCAGCGGTCTCCGCGGACGCAAATCAACAAGCAGCTCCGTCAGCAGCATCCGCAGCATCCACCGACACCGACACTCACGCTCCAAAGCCTCATCAACCTCCTCCAACGGCTCCGATGCCGTCTCCAAAACCCCCATCGGCACACGCAGCCCCCACCACTCCGTCAAAGTCCTCCCAGCCACGCCGACAGCGACATCCTTCCCCACCAGCGTGCGACTGGTGCGTAACCCGCCCATGAGCAGCTTTAATGAGAGCGCGCAGTGGGGTAGGGAGGGGATGGGTGGTTTGGTGTTCGCGAAGCGCAAGAGGAGCGTGTTTAAGGGACCTATGCTGAATGTGCAGCCTGGACAGCCGGAGAAGCCGCATGGGCATGGGCATAGTAGGAGTACGGGCGCTGTGGGGAGGAGGAGCGGGGAGCAGACGACGATTGAGGAGGAGGAGGAGGAGGTGGAGGAGGTGGATGCGTTTGGGCCGTTGACGGGGGAGGGGGTGGATGTCGAGGTTATGTTTGAGGAGCCGGAGGTGGGGGAGGAGAAGGTTAAGGAGGGTGAGAGTAAGGAGAAGGAGCAGGAGAAGGAGAAGAAGGAGGAGAAGGAGAAGGGTGCGGAGTAAGGGGGGTTTGGAGATGTGGTACATACTGTTGTATCTCCTGTACACGCGGGCCTGTCAGGATTGGAGGGTAGGATGGCATCTGGTTCTTCTTTCTTCTTCGTTACCACGAGAGACATTCTTGTTGAGAGGTTAGGGGGCGGCTTTGATACCAAAATCGAACAGCTACATATACGTACAATGGAATATTGCGAATACTATACTTTACTTTACTATGCATGCTCTCCCTTTGCGCTCTGTTGTGTCTAGAACAATCCTACCCTACTGAATAGAGGGTGTAGCTTGTGGTGGTAGTGGCATGTTGACTTTTGTCAAGTTGTTCACTCGCTTGTGAAATACGTTATATGAGAGACATTACCATACTACATAACTTGTCAATAATTATCCAAGAAGCTCAACTGCCATATACGCTGCCTTCGTCATAACCTCTTCCTGAGATATCCCCTGTGAGACACTGACAATGGCAGTGCCTCCCACCTCCACAGTACAGGTATATTCCTGCCCCTCTTTCCCAAGTTTATACTCGACCGTCCGACCTGAAGACATCTCGCCGAGCTTATTCTTTGGGTGGGGAATATTCACATCTTCATCTAAAATGCGGCGGAGATAGGCGATTAACCCGAGATTCTCTGCAACTTTCTTGCATGCTGATAAGTCGCCGGCTGCGTCTATGAGGACTGCGCCAATGATACTTTCGACAATATCAGACAAGAACTTTGCCGGAGCTAGGCTTGTTAGCAGTACCCATGGATACTCATTCCCATGGGCAATAGCAGATGCAATGGCAGGTTGCAGTTTATGATATCTTTCCAAGCAGCTACTCATTGCAGTGTTTATCTCTGGGTGTTGATGTCTCATTAACTGGCATAGGTGCACAAGCTTTGAGCTGTGGACTTCTGTAAAGCCAGTCGAGTAGTGGTTTGGGCTCAAAGCAACATCCGTAACGACTTGTTCAAGCGATGCGTCCATGCAGAGATAGGCTAAAAATCCCGCATTAACCACAGCGGTCTTTGTCAGGTGCATCCTGCCGTGTGATAATTCCGGTGCATTGTCGATCATGAAAGAAACGACTATCATATCCAACGTAGCGTCCCCAATGAATTCTAATCTCTGATACGAGCTCGTGTGCGAGTCGTGTTCGCACGATGGGTGGGTTATAGCTTCCAGTAGGTAACCCCGATTCTTGAACTGATATCCAATTAAGCGCTCGACATCTGCAAGGTGACCGTTTGCGAGCGATGTGGGAGCAAAAACACTCTCTGTATGAATACCTCTAGCAAATATATCGAGCGGGGCTGTTATCCGCATCTCAGGAAGGAAACGGCTTATACAAGTTGCAGCTGCCTCGTACCCCCTATCAAGAAATGCGCCGCCAATAAGCGCTTCCACAACGTCGGCGAGGACCTTGGTTGACAAGGTGCGCTTCTCTGGAGATGATGCAGCATCTAATATATCTTGGATATACGGTGGAGACCATTTCCGTGCTGTGAAGGTTTTCGTTACAATATAACGGTCGAGTCCTACAGCCAGAGCAGCCCGCGAAAGGTGAGAATTGGCAACTGCCTGATCCTTGGCCCTGGACAGGTAGCCTTCAGGCCATGAGGGTTGAGAAGCGTACAAATTCACGCAGACGAGGTATTTTAAGACCGAATCCCCAATGAACTCCAAGCGTTGGTAGTTTGAGTTCTCGTTGGCAGAAGGGGCGTTTGTTGCTGTGATAACATAATCGAGGTTAAGAAACCCCTGATCTTCAAATACGGCGTTATATAAGTCCAAAGCAACGGCTTGTCTCCATAGCCGGTGCATAATAGAAGGGATGAGAAGAGAGCACTCCACATATTCCATCGGCAACTTGTCAACAGTGCTTGATTCCAAAGGCAAGAATAAAGCCGGCTTCTCAGAGCAATCTACTTCGTTTTCGGTTTCTGACTTGCTTGCAAAGCTACGATGAAGAAAGTCTCGTCTTTTGGGCAAACGAACGACTTTTATCGTGCCATCATCAACAGTCTCTTTGAATATATGTGGAGCCGCGTAACGTGCTTGATCTCGGATGAGGCCATATGAAGCATTGGGCATCGTATTCGTATCTAGTATCTCTGCAGCTGGCAGATTTCCAGCACTTTCTTCCAGCCATGACTGAAGTAATCCCTCGCCAATATGTGGTATAAAGAGCGCAAGGAAATCATCACGCCCTATCGGCATACGATTGAAATGGACTGCTTGAAAAATCGTTGACGTAACTTGCCTCATTATAGGAATGAATGGGGTATCGGTGGGTGATATTGATGTAGTCTCACTAATGGAAATCGAGTAAGTTATCTCATTGTCCCAGTAAATCGTAAAGGTTTCGAGAGCAGGCAACTCCTGAGGGAAAACCATAGCCAAATACAGAGTCGGACGGTCTGGCCTGGTGATGGAGATAAGTTTCTTCTTCAGAGAGTCTGATGGTTCCATCCAGCTTTTTGCAATACTTATCCAGGGGTCAAAGATTTCGGAGACTTCCTCTACAGAAGCCCTTGTCTCTATATCAGCCATAACGTCTTCTTCCTTCCCAAGTAGCAGTGGCAGTAGGTTCTCATTAACCAGTCCCTTCTTATACAAGGCAACGTACGCCTGGAAAGCAGCATCTTTCTTCGCCATCCGTTCCGATTTCCATTCCCAACCAGAAGATGCCGTTCGTACTGATGAATCGACACAGTTTGGTAATGTAACATTCCCAGTTATCAGGCCGTAGAAACTCTCTTGGAAATAGAACTTTGGTTGGAGATCCACGTAGGGTTGCGGGGGGAGAGTTGCGCAGAAGTGATGGATATGAGCAACGGCAGTTTCAAGGGTGAGGAGGGCCCTGAGAAATTAGAAGGTGGTCATGATTGGCACAAGACTGACATACCCGGTTGACTTGATCTCGAATCTAGCATTGGAACGCCCTTCAACATGCTCTTCGGCATCTTCTAGCTGCTGCAGTTTCTGACGTTTCGAAGCATCTTTTTGATACTCTTCCCTTATTTGATTCTCCATGTCTCCCCATTCCTGTGGACCCAAAGAACGGTCATCCGACGAAACTAGGAGGACAAAAATAGAACGGCTTTTTCTTGCCCTTCCCCTCCGTTGAATAAACGATTTGAGATTGGGCGGTTTATTGAAGCATATAACTATATTGCAAGCTGATATATCAATCCCCTCCTCAAGAACGCTAGTTGCAATGATAAAGTTCTTGTCCTTCTTTCGAAAGCAATCGAGGGTATCCATCTGCTCTAGGGGAGTGAGCCAATCGCCAAGAGATGATTTCCTACTGGAGAAGCTAGAAGTTCCAATAAATGTCCCGCACCTCAACATGCCCTTTGTCATGGGATGGAGAGAGAGGAGTTGGTGGAGGACCGCCACGGTTGCCCGTTGCTCAACGAATATAATCCCATGAAGATCACCGTTCCCGTAACTTGTCAGGAATCGAACTAACTGTCGCACTTTCCGTGTTGTGTTCATTTCATCTGGATGACTAGAGTCCAATGCCGAACTAGCACTTTGAACTTGGTGACGCAACAACTTGAGTAGAGCATTGCTCCGTTTCCCATTATCAAAAAACGGGTCTCCGTTCCGTTTCGTTTCCGCGGCACTCCAGATATCCACAGATGTTTTAATATAGTAATCTGCAGCCCATTGGCCTAGCTCGTCGTATATATGACGTGATTTCCTGCAAAATGATTTCAATTCGCGGAGATCAATATCCGAATCCTGGGATGCGCTAGAGTTCGTAGCATTGGCATAGACAATTGTTAGGTTGACAAGCGCCGGAGAAGTATATTGCCCGTATATTGATGGGTTTGACAAGTAGGCAAGCCTCACAAATGTCGGCGGGTGGACGTATTCTAGCAGCTCTCCACGATGAACTCGTGGTGTTCGACATAGCGCATTGAGATTACGCTCGATAATTCTATTTAATCAGCGGCAAGTAATACAGCATATTGGAGATACTCACTCTAGATCCGATGGTTTGGATCGTATAACTGGGCTTGCGGTTAAGCCGAGAATGTGTGGTACAGCATTTGGCCCTTTCAGCGCCAGGAGAGGATGATAATAATTTTTCATTATCTTATTTGCGGGATGCTCGCCCGCGCAATGATGAGCTGTAATTGCTCAGCCCAAGTCACTTCTCACTTCATGACTCCATCACATACCTTCGTCAAACACCAAGAGTGTCAGCTCTTCTATTCGGACAAACCCGTGGCTGAGAGCATCTGACAAAACGCCATGGGTGGATACGACTATTCGGACATTTTCTAGCACTGCGTCCCATATCCTTTGCTCACTCCAACGGTCGACATTATCGGAACCCACGAGTAGGCGTGTCTGAACGTATGGGATGTTTGTGCGGAGGGTAGTGTATTGCTGCTCGCATAGTGTAACTGTCGGGGCAAGAAACCAGACACGCTAAATCCAAGAAGTTACATTACGAATCCATTTGTAGATACATAAAATCTTGCTTTATCATACCTTCTGTGGCGGGCATCTCTCTAGCTCGGCCTGTATGCGCATAACCGCACTTTCTGAGTCAGTATATACTGTGCAAAGCTAGGCAAGCCACAGGCCGCCAGCATCAATTACACAGGGAGGGCAATTCACATATGAGTTTTTCCGCTGCCAGTATCCATCTATTTCTAAAGTCAGAATAATAAAAACAGCTGGGAATGAAGGAGCACTACCACTACAATGGTGTTGCGAGCCATGCTTGCTTCGAACATCTCAAGCTGGTACAGCCTAGACTTCTCAGGTGGTATCGCACTGGGTTTGGCAAGCTCCATCGCGCCAGAGTTTGCTGGAGCATCTTCCAGGGTAGATTCTTGGAAAGTCATAATGCTCCATTCAGTAGAGTGCAGCGTTTGGTAGTAGGATGTTCTGGTTGAAGTGTGCAATGTGACCGTCACCCCAGCACTGAAAACATCGTGGTTTATCGCCAGCCTTGGAGACCATATATACGATGCGTTCCAATCTCCGTATAATACTCTACATACGCGGCGTGGGAGACCTCGGGTCCTCCTCAGGATCAAAACCAACAAGGCAGGGTCCTTTATTGGTGCGGGGGTAGGCGCCAGCCTCGTCGGTTTCGGCCCAGTGCCTTAAACAAAGCCCAGTAAGGCTAATCGTTAAATGCCACGTCGGGGTCCTATACCAATCGAGAGAAGGCTCTGACATTGTCGTGGCATTTGCGAAGTGATTGACGTGACGACGCTGCAAAGAAAGTGATATGTTGTCGCATGTAGGGCGTGCTTTCTAGCCTCCGGCGATGTGATTGGTGTTAAGTTAGGATGGAATGCCGCTGCCCGTCTTGACTGCGGTCCGAGTATGACGGTATGTGGGGCGGCCTGATGTTGGCTGTTTATTTGGTTTGTCTTCTTGCAACCACCCCCTCCATAGTCACAAACGAGGCTGGCTGTCAAAGTCACACGAATACGCGTTGCCACTAGCAAGCACAGCCAGTCTATATCTGAACTCGCGTTCTCACGTTTTCTACCTTTCACAGAATCAAGCCGGCGACGTGACACTGCTGCACAGGACTGACACTCAGGTTACCATCAGTGCAGCGTACAAGGTGAAGTTGCCAGTTTCGACATCGGGTAGGTAAGGACCCATTCCCGAATCTACAAATAAGACGACTGTGACGACTTGCCAACTCATTACATAGACTCTCCAAGGGGCTTCAGGTCTCAGCTTCCAAAGAGAACCGTACCCCGCACTAGTTCCGTTGAGCCATGTCTGTATTTCAACCTAGAGGCAGAGGAAGAGGCCAAGGCGGGGGTGATCGCGGCAGAGGTGGTGGTGGCCGAGGTGGTGGGAGAGGTGGTGGTGGCCGAGGTGGTGGGAGAGGAGGCTTTCAGACGGTGCCGGCCGAGGTGTTCGGGTGAGTCTGTTTCATTTCTCTGTCACTGGCGCTCTATATTATACGTCTAACTCTCCCAGCGATGGAAAATTTCCTCCTCCAAATCAAAATGTCACGAAGACTGAAGACAGCTACATGGCTCAGAAGCCGACGCTTACTGGTAGCATGGCTGGCATGTCCGTCACAGCAGATTTCCCAGCGAGGCCAGCATATGGTACAAGGGGGAAGCCGGTTGTACTGTGGGCAAACTATTTTGAGCTTGCAGCGGCGAAGAACCTGGTAATTTATCGGTACCACGTCGCCATCTCACCTGAGGCAAAAGGAAGGAAGCTGAAGAGAGTCATCGAACTGCTGCTCGAAGATCCTCGACTGAAAAATTCTGCTACCGATTTCAAAGCCATTCTGGTTAGCCGGAAGAAGCTCCCCGACGTTGAAGTGGAGGTTACATATCGCTCCGAGTTTGAGGATGATCCTAAACCCGATGATAAACCATACCGTGTCAATATACAACTTACTGGCGAGATGGATATTGATGCTCTTGTGAACCACCTCCGATCGGTCCAGCCAGACCCGAATTTCCGCGCCGACAAGAGGATGCAGGTAATCCAGAGTTTAAATATCCTTCTAGGGCATTATGCGCAGTCGGATCCTTTAACCACCACCATTGCTAGCAACAAGCATTTCTTGTTTGGCACCGATCAGGCTGGGATTAGACGTGCAGTGGAGTATTATGACCTTGGCAAAGGTCTCAGTGCGCTACGTGGTTACTTCCGAAGCGCTCGGCCGAGTACTGGCCGAATTCTTGTCAACGTAAATGTGAGCCATGCGGTATTTTTCAGGCCGGGGCCTCTGGTGGAGCTCATCAAGATCTTTGGCGCTGCATACGGCACGAGCCTGTTCCAACTAGAGAGGTTTTTGAAGAAAGTTCGAGTGGAGACTACGCATCTGCCAGTGAAGAAGAACAAAGCTGGGAAAAAAATCCCAAAGGTCAAGACTATCATTGCTCTAGCAAGCCAGAACGACGGTGCAGGTTTACCTCACCCGCCAAGAGTCGCTAGATTCGGCGCCAACGCAAAGCAAGTCGAGTTTTGGTTCGAATCGACTGACAAGAAGAAGCCTGGGAATGGGAGATATATTACTGTTTTTGACTTTTTCAAGACACGTAGGTGGCAATTCTCATATTCTATCCCGGCTTCGACTAACACAATTCAGAGTACAAGATGCAATTGAACGAAAATTACCCAGTCATGAATGTTGGTACCAGAGCAAACCCGATGTACATGCCTGTCGATTGCTGCATGGTTATACCGGGGCAGACTTCCATGAAAAAGCTCGACCCCGACCAGACCGCAGAGATGATTCGTTTTGCGTGCCGCAAACCGCATTTAAACGCTGCGTCCATCACTTCTGATGGGTTGTCAGTACTTGGGTTCGACGCTAATTCCAACTCTAATCTAGTAAGTGGAAAAGTGGTTTTAGTTTTGCACAATTGCTAATTCTCATTAGGGGTTGTTCGGAATCAATGTGAACACGAACATGATCACAGTTCCAGGCCGAATTCTTCCCCCGCCGGTAGTAAAATACCAAGGCAAAAATACCGTAAACCCAAGAGGAGGGCAATGGAACATGATGGGCGTCAAATTTACTCAGGGCTCCAAAGTTCCGCCATGGACGTATTTGTGTATTGAGAGGAATGGGAGGAACAGCCCGATCAAAGGAGAAGACCACATTTCCTCCATTATGGCCGAGTTTCAGGGTATGATGAATGCATCTGGCCTTGCAGCGGCACCGCCCTTTAAAGGCAAACGTATCGTGCTAGATGCTGGCCAGAACGCACCAAGCAACGACGAGCTCATCGACAATATGTTCAAAATGGCGACTGGGAAAATCGGGTTGATGGTGGTTGTATTACCTGACACGGACGCCGCCGTCTACAATGCGGTTAAGTACGCTGCCGACATCAAGTATGGCATCCATACTGTCTGTGCTGTGGCCTCGAAGATTGCAAAGGAACAAAGACGTGACCAGTATCTGGCGAACATAGCTCTGAAGGTCAACAGCAAGTTGCGTGGGGCAAACCAGACCCTGGATACACAGAAGCTCGGGATCATAGCGGAAGGAAAGACAATGGTGGTAGGAATCGACGTCACACATCCATCTCCTGGGTCCCTGTCAACTGCGCCCAGCGTTGCCGCCATTGTGGCAAGCATAGACAGCACACTGAGCCAGTTCCCTTGCGAGCTCAGCGTCCAGGAGGGCCGGAAGGAGATGGTGACCGATCTCAGCGAGATGATGAGGTCCCGACTTCGGCTTTGGAGAGAAAAGAACAAGGCCTTGCCTGAGAATATTCTCGTCTATAGAGACGGCGTTTCCGAAGGCCAGTATCAGGTCCTGAAAGACGACGAGATCCCGTCTCTACGCAAAGCCTGCGACGGAATCTACACGGCTGATCAGAGAAATAAGGGGTTGCCAAAGCTTTCAGTTATTGTTGTTGGAAAGCGCCACCACACGAGATTCTACGCCACGAAGCAAGACGAAGCGGATCGTTCTGGAAACCCGAACAACGGCACTGTCGTCGATCGGGGTGTGACAAGCATGTGGAACTGGGATTTCTTCCTACAGGCCCACACCTGCCTCCAAGGGACGGCGAAGCCAGCCCACTACTACGTAGTCCTGGACGAGATCTTCGGCAAGGGCAACCTGAAGAAACCTCATCCTTTCCCTAACGCCGCCGATACGCTTGAGGATCTGACGCACAACATGTGCTACCTCTTCACCCGCGCGACGAAGGCAGTTAGCATCTGCCCGCCCGCGTACTACGCCGACCTAGCCTGCGAGCGTGCCCGATGCTACCTGCATAAGGAGTACGAGCCCTCGCAGTCAGGGGGTTCGAGTGTGGGTGGCGGCGCGCAGCCCAGTACATTGGAATCCGATGTTAAGGTCAATGATAGACTCAAGGACTCGATGTTTTACATTTAATTTCTATTCATGACTTCGATGATGATTTTACGATTTTCTGGGAACTTTGGGGGATTTCTTTGACTTGGACCAATTGGGAATGGAGGCTCGATTTAGCAGCGTTGGATTTTGAATCTTGCAACACGGAATGCATTCTTTGGGTGTGGTGGCGACTAGTTTCCGCAAGAATCTGTGATATCCCGTGCAATTGTGATATTAGAACTTGGGCTGTAAACGGCCAATCTACTCCAACCCCAAAATCTTCTCAGCCGCCTTCTTCAACGCATCCATAGACTCCCTCCACAGAGTCGGCCCGACACTAATCCTACAAACTCCAATCTCCTTCCACTCCGCAACCGTTACCTTCCCTCCCCCACCACTCAAAAGCACCGCCACCTTCCCATCAAGCCCCCTAACCAGCGTCCTCACATCCTCCACCGTCAACTCCGGCCCCCAAACGAAAAAGCTCGTCGCCCCTGCCTCTAAGTACGCCTTCCCCCTCTTCAACGCCTCCTTCAGCATATCCTCATGTCCCCACCCCTCCGGCCGCGGATTAAGCATGAAAAGATCCGTCCTGGCATTTACTACGAAATTGGGCAGGCCCTTCTCCTTTGCAATCTCAAACACGACCTTCAATCTCTCTACCTGCTCCTCCAGAGTCCTCAATCCGTCCAGCCCCCTCCCGTAACCCCTCTCTGGAATGCCATCCTCGATATTCGCCCCGACGACACCGAGGTCAATAGCACCCCCCACACACTCCCTTAGCTGCTCGCCATACCCATCCTGTAAATCCGCGCTCAGTGGAACTCCAGCTGCGCGCGCGATGGGAGAGATGAGAGAGAGCGCCTGCAGGTTCAAGGGCAGAGTGAGGTCAGCGTCCGCGAGGCCGAGAGTCCCTGCTATGGCGTAGGAGCCGGTTGCGAGGGCGCGGACGGGGGTGGAGGTGGGGGTGTTGAGGGCGAGGACGGTGGTGGTGGAGGGGATGTCGTGGACGTTGCTGAGGACGAAGGGGGAGGAGGGTTGGTGGAGGGCTTTGAGTTTGAGGGCGTAGGTGTTGTCGATGGGGACGGGTTGGGGGGTTGGGGAGGCCATTGTGGTGGTGTTGGGGGTCAAATGTGATAAATTGGGAGTATTGATAGGCTTTTTGCTTGGAGATTAGGTTTTAATAGAGGATGTTGAATGCTGTTATAGAAATTATAAAGTAAGGGACTCTATTATATATTATAGATGAGGTAGGCGGGGTAGGTTGCGGGGTTCTTTGTGATCTTCATTTGCCGATTGTGCGAACACCAAAATGGACTCCGGTTCTCCGATGCACGCTTCAGGAAGGCGATTACTAGCCAATCGTGGATACAGACGCCAAAATACGCCTTACGGGATACCGACATCTAGGCAGAAGCGTGCTGAATGTGCAGAAAGTAACGGATATTAATGGAACTGTATTACCAACTGTTGCAAGGAGGAGAGTGAGTGCATTGTGGCCGTGGGTTGGTGAATATGACGTTTGGTATATGGTGGCGCATTTAATGATGTACCGTACGTCTTTGGATCGGTTGTCACATATGGCGCTCTATCTAACATCACACTGTCAAACCAACCCAATGCAAACCGCTCGCTCATTCGCCTGGCTTAGAAATGAGATCTGGGATATCATCGACCGTGTTGTTGCCTTCCAAAATATCTGGGGTATGGTTAGCAAGGGTGGGAAAGCCAGGATGCGCTAAACGGTATACTTACTATAAACCGCAGTAAACAATGGGTATTCATGCGCCACTCCCCTGCTGTTCAAAAACGAGTGTACCTCATACGCCGTGCTCGTTCCCTGCAGCTTCTGCCCATTCAGCTCGCGCTTCTCGATCTCGTTGATCGAGAGGCCCTCCTCTACTGACATCTTCGCACACTTGTGGTTCCTGCCACCCGAACAGCTGGTAATGAGATCAGCCATGCCACAGCTCTCCTCTAGGAATGTGGCTGGGTCGACAGTCTCGGCGAAGAACTCTTTGCCGAATTTAACCATCTCGAGCAGGCCGACGCGCATGACAGCCGCTTTGGCATTGTCACCCCATCCGCGGCCATCAACGAAGCCGGCGGCTAGCGCGACGATATTCTTCAGTGCGCCTCCGAGAGAGACACCTGCGACATCGTGGATCAGGCGAATGTGGAAGTATTGTCGGTGAAACAGTGTGTGCCAGAGGGCGTGGTCTATAGGAGGATAGTCGGAAGGTAGGGGAGACAGCTTGACAGACGACACTTCTCCGTGTACATCTAGGTGCTGCAACCCTTTTAAGTCGTCGGTTGAGGCCTGTGCAGACGGCCCTCTCGGCGTAGGGGATCGAGAATCCAGAATGGGTGGGTCGTATCCGATGGTGGTTTCGGACCATTTCTCCTTGGCGATTTCTGTGGCGAGGTTGGCACCGGACAGTGCCCCAACGTAGATGCCCAAGCCCTTTCCGATTGTCTCTGAAAAGAGGCTCACTGATGCATCCGTGACGTTAACGCCCTTGACGCAGGATATTCCACGGGCGAAGGGGAGGATGTGGCCGCGCATTTGTTGAGAGAGTTTGCCAATAAACTGGTGGGGCAGGTTGAAGATCAGGATTGAGGCACCCTCTACGGCGTTTTCTACCGATGGGTTGGCGATAAGATTCGTCGGCAATGGAATTTCTGGGAGGTATTTGAAGTTCTCGTGGTATTTGTTGATAAGGCTCGTAAGTTTCTCTGGTTTGGCCGAGTCTCCTGGGTAGTGTTTCGAGTTTTTGGGGATGGTGACCTCTTCCTCGAAAACCCACATCTGAACATCCTCTTCGAATAATTCGGGGTGTTCCCTTGTGTTCTCTGCTACAATCTTTGCGATAGTTGAACCCCTGCACAATTGAAGGTCAGTACAGGCCATTGGTAATTGGGACGGCGCACTCACCAGTTTCCCGATCCTACAACGGCCACCCTATGTTTTTTCGATGGGGCGTTGAGGGTCGCCATGTTATGTGTCTGAGAAGGCTTGAGATGCAGCGCAGTTTGTATGACCCGTTGCTGAGCCTTACCTGCGGCTGCCACAGAAGTTTTGGATAACATCCAGGCTAGTTGAAGCAAAATATCTATAGTTGAGCAAAAAGGATCGTCTTTGGGCGTGCTACGGAGATTCTTGTTGGGGAGAAGGGGATTGCTTGTAACAATTAGTATATCTATAAACGCAGGAGACAAATGGATGCTGAACGACCGAGGGAAAGCCGTCGACCAAGGGGCAGGGCTTCCGGGCTAGCCAGTAGTGGATCGACAGAATTTATATTAGAAGCTAGCAACGAGAACTGGTGATGAGATGAGGCTCGGGACAAAAAAGCGGGGAGGGAAGGGAGTCTCGGATGAAATAATATACCGGAAGTAGTTTAGCGTAAGATCTAAATCTGCACACTCGTGAGATCTGGTGAGATTTTACTTTCACATGTTGTGAAGCGACGCTACGGGGATTAGTCAGCAGAGCTTAAAGGCTTATTGGCACGATGCTCTATAATCGGACGATCGGGGACTGAGAAGGCTGAGCAAATCAATAAGGATATTGCTAAGCATGATCCCTAAATTGGAGGTGTTTTTGGAGGCTGGCCTTCTGAGACCGCTTGAATATAAGAGTGGGAAGAAGCTCGTGGTGAGGCTTTGAATTCATGGCATCTATTCGTGTGTAGTTTTGCTACATATATCCCGCATTTCCACCGCATTTCCACCGCGATTGCTAGAGACTGCAAGGCATCGTCATGGCTTCCAGAACTTGGGCCTAATAACTATACAGCCCGAAATCTTCGTAAATCATCACCACATCCCACCCCTCCAACCTCCAACCTCCAACATCATCACCGCATCCCACCCCTCCAACCTCACAACATCATCCACCCCACCAACCCCACCAGCACCCCCTCCCATCCACCCCTCCCCACCCTCCCACTCGCCCAGCTCACCACACCCTCCGAATTCCCATTCTTCACTCCCTCCACCTGCTCCTGCACATTCTCCTCAAAAGCCCCAATCACATTCCCCGGCGGATAATACTCACACACAACATACCACCCCGGGCTGCCACCCTTCCCATCACACTCCCTCCGCCCACATCCCACACTCGTCGTATCCTTCCAGACAACCTGCGTGAAGTGGCCTGTCTCGTGGCTGAATTCGGCTTTTTTGAAATCGTACTCTGAGCGCTCGGTGCCCCAGGCGTCGATGGAGGATGTGGCGTTGGGGTAGCCGGCGGCGAGGTTCTCGCCGCTTGGTCCGCCCTATGTTTTGTTAGTAACCGACTTCCTATTCCTCTCTACGCAGAGTGTATGTCAAGGAGATCGGCTTACCGAGTGCTCGAATTCGCATGCCTCCGCCCATTCCGCAGCATACGCGGCGCTCGTCCCGTTCCACGCCAGGGCGCTCGCATTGTGGTCTTTGCGGTAGAAATTATGTGTATCGAGGATGGCGCGCCGGAAGGCGCGGGGCGAGGTGTATTCCGTAGATGGTGCGGCCGGCGTGGCGGCTGCGCCGAGGGTCGTATGGATGGTCGTGTGGACAGTGACCGTTACCGTGGCGTAGGCGGATGGGAGGAGCAGGGAGACTGTTAATCGGAGTCGCATACTGTGCGTATAGTGCTGGAAGTGTAATACAAATGCATGCAAAGAAGAGATCAACGTTAGAAGTGACCAAGCACGCATATTCATTCATAAGGGGAAGGAACTCATTGGCGCATCGCTCCTGCCATTTGAGAGAAAACAATGAAAGAAATAGTCCTGTCTCGCCCTTCTAGCCTCGCCGCCGAGAACAAGGACGAGACAAGAACCACTCACCGTGCATAGCCTCAAAGAAACACGTTTCATCCCGGTATGCCGATATACGCCTTTTGTTTCTTTGCGCGGCTTTCGAGGCGGTGTTTCTCACGTTTCTTGGTTTGGGGAATCCGTTGGTGATGGGGTGGTGGCCGCGATTGGGGTTGGCGCCCGTCAGCCTTGTCTATGACGGATGATACAGAGAAACCTGGAGAAAGGACAGGGATACATATCAACGTCACGTGTTGCAGTTCCATTTCAACGAGTCTAGATGTTGAAGGTTTAATAAGAGTGGTATGTATCTCAGTGAAGAGTCCCTAGTAGTAAAAGCTAGCAGAAAAGCAATAAAATCATACAGACAATACAAACAGTGGCCTAGATAAATGAAAAAAAAAAAAAAAAAAAAAAAAAAACGCTTTATGTATAGTGCTTCGGCCGTATCCCAACTCATCATACACAATAGTGTCCTTTTTCTGACTCCTGCGAGCCCTTTGTCGTTTATCCTGTTTTATTTACCTTCCTCCAGAGTACGCCTTGTGCATTCCATCCATCTTCATACTCCGTAACCCCCTCCGTTGTTGTGTGTTGTGATATTCCCATTCGATATTCAAGGAGTGTCCAATTCACCTATCTGCCTCGTACAAAATTCGCCCACTGCTAATAAATCCTTCCATTCAAGAAGAGAAAGTATCCCGTGCGAGTGATTAGTCACTCGAGACGGTATCGCACATTAAATTAGCTGCCAGTTTCTGGAGAACAGTGAGAACACCTGGGAATTCATTAGTATTGTTAGAGACAAATACTACAGTAGCTTAAAGGTTGACTCACCAGTAACTCCCTGCGTCAGCGTTTTCATAGCCTCCGTGTTACGGCTTCCCAAGCTGACAGTCGTAACGTACGGAACCTCGCCCTTTTCCTCTATTTCATTCGCCCATCTGAAGACCACTTCATCTTCACGTCCATCACCAACCACCAATAAGAAATCCACGGGGTATTTGCCCTTCCGGGCTGATTCCATGCCATCCTTAATGTTCTTGAAGATAATCTCGGCAGCAGTACGCTTCGTCCACTTCATAGACTCGACAATAACGGCTCCCTCAACGGGAATGGCATGGACGTGCTGGTCCTCGCATGCGTCGTTAATATGGCCGGCACAGTCTCCAGCCTGACGAGAGGCGGTTTCGAAGTCCTCGGCATTCTTGTAGTGGAAGATGAGCGAGCAATGGCGTGTCTCCACCCAGCTGCCTGGAGTTCTGTCCTTGTAGTAGTTCATGATTCCAATAACAGACTCCTTCCAAGCGTTCATTTCATCCGGATCAGACATCTCTTTCCATTCCGTCTTTCCAAATTCGCGGAGGAATGCACCGTTTTCGGCAATCAGGCCAAGGTTCGGCACGCGCTTGAATAGAGTATCGAGCTCCTCGGGCTTGCGGCCGCTCATGACGTAGACCATGTTCCTCTCATCTTGGAGAAGATCGTTCAGTGCGTCGATTGTTCGCTGTGGGCTGGTCAAGATGATGTTGCTGGGAGAACCCCAAACTGCCAGAGTTCCCTCGTAGTCAAGGATGAAAAGGCGACGGCCTGATGACTGGTATTGGGAGCTTAAACCAGGGATGGACAGGCGGGGAACCGAGGTTGTGTCCCGTCTGTGCTGTTCCTCATAGACTTCGTCTAACTTGTTAATAAACGCATTGAACCAGTGGTCGGCCGTCTCGTGCATTACAGCCTTGTACAGGTTTGTCCATCGTCTCTCCTTTTCCGAGGGTTCCATCTCAAGAGCTGTCTTGATGGCCTCCGCACACTGGCGGTAGTCCCAGGGGTTGATAGAAAGATCATAGCCGCCGAAAATAGAGGCACTTCCAGTAAATTCGCTCAAAATGAGAGATCCGTATTTGTTGTGGCCTTCGAACTTGCCATCCTGGCAGAAGAGGTACTCGTGGCTGGTTAAGTTCATGCCCTCACGCTGGCTGGCAATCATAAGCGCGTCCGCAACAGTTAGCAGTGCAAGGTATTGCGCGTAGCTGATGTCCTGCTTCAAGTATACAAGGGGCTGATAGGCGAGATTTGCCCACGACGAGTTGACACGCGTGACAATATCAGAAACGGTAGCATCCAGTTCAGCTTGCTCAGTGGTTGAGGTAGCCACCTGGATCATGACAACACGATCTCTCCATTCGGGGTATTTGTTCAAAAACAGCTCATACGCCAGGAGCTTAGGCCTTACTCCCCGGACGTGATCAAGCTTGTCTCTTGCGACAATGAGCTTCTTTCCCCTATATCGCTCTTGCATAGTTTTCAACCATTCTGCGACCTCCGCATCCTCGCGATGCACACTCAAGGCCACTGGGTCGATTCCAATGGCCAAGTTAACAACATTGACGAAACGATCCTCGAGCTGGACACCTTCGTTCGTAGCTTCAACGCATAAAATACGGCTGCAAGTCTGCAAGAAATGGCGAGAGTATTCGTGGATCTGGAAAGCAATAAGGTTTGCTCCCAGCATCCCCTCCAGCAGCTCCTTTCGAACTGCGAGACAACGGAACACTTCAGATGAGGGGAATGCCACGTGCAAGAAGAAGCCAATTTTGGCATCAGGAAGCTTCTTCCTCACCAAGGCCGGAACGAGGAGCAGATGGTAGTCGTGCACCCAAATCACATCACCCCGCTTCCAGTTCTTAACAATCTTATCTGCAAAGGCCTCGTTGACCTTGACATAGTAGACCCACGAATGGTCCTGATAAGTCTTGCTCTTTGGGTTGTCCGGAATCTGGTAATGGAACACCGGCCATAGGATCTGCTTGCAGTAGTGGGTATAGGCACCATCAAAATCGCTATCTTTGCAGAAAACAGTGAGGCAGTCGTATTCGGCAGCCAGCGCCTCGTCAATATCTTGCTTTTGTTGCGTATTCTCAAGCGCATCAGTGGGCATGCCAAGAGTTCCAACCCAGTTAAACTCTTGCTTTCCACTTCGCGCAGCTGCCTGGACAGCATTGCGCAAGCCACCATTTCCCTGGTCCGCGGGCTCAACCGTCCATGTTGCTTCGGAGAAGTTGCGGTCGTGGCTGTCGTGGCTGTTGCTCCGGTTCAAATGGTTTGTGTGCCGGATGCTGGCGCGTCTCATAGCAGCTGCCTTCTCAACCAGCCTCTTCTTATGCTGCAAAATCGACGCTGGTGGTGGCGAGCTTGCCCTGGACTTTGGCTGCACAAAGCTGGTTCCAGTACCCCATTCGGGCGCATGGGGGTCACTCGGTGCAACCACAGACCGAGGGTCTACCGTCTTCGGAAAGTGTTTCCGCCCAGTGGATGATTCCTGGGCAAAGAACTTCTCGTATCCGCCATCTTCCTTGGTTGGAGACTGAGGAGGCGTAAGCTGCTGCTTATCGAACAGACTGGGAGCATCTTTAGAGGTGTCGATTTGGATTGGAGGGTGGACAGGAGCATGAGGGCGGATGGAGCTCCTGCGGGACGCAGTGTCGCTCTGGGCGGGGAGAGTGAAGTTGATGGTATGGGGGAGGAAACTAGAGGGCACGAGGTCAGCGATTGGATTGAGAAGACGAAGACGATCCCGACAACGAGATATAAAAGTAGCTAGGCAATACCATTGGAGTGCTAGCGTATTAAAGCCGCAAGGTGGTTGTTGTAAACTACCGGGTGCTACTTACAGAGAAACTACGAAGATGGTCATTGTCGCAACTTTTGTCGGCTTAGATCAAGGACAGCGTGGCTGGTGATGCGACAGCTCGTCTGTCGTGTACTTAAAAGAGTACTCCTGCAAGATCATCCAGATACTTGAAGGTAGTGGTCGTAAAGAGCACCTTTTGAGGCACGGAGTTGTCGGTTGGGCGTTCGGCGGCTTGCTGCAAGGCCGGTCTGCTGGTTACATTCCTAAGACAGTGTGTCTTTGTTCGAACAGTCGAGCCCGCGTTTTGAAGCAGGTGCGAATAGATCGGTTGCCGAAGTTGAGAGAGGGTTCCTGGTGGTTTCCTATGTTTCTGTCATAATCTCCACTTTCGGGATTCGATGAGACATCATCATCCATTATAATTATCAGATTTAGTGGCTGAGAGCTTTGGGAGGGGACACTTTTTTCAACCGACGTCAGGCCCGCGCTAAGGCCAAGAGGAGACTAGACACTCGGCGAAACAGAGCGAGCAACCCACTGTAGCACTGGTGGCGGGTGCGGAATATTATGCGCTAATTAAGTTACAGTACTGTACGGAGTACCATACATCGGCCCTGTTCGATAAGTTATAGTCTGTCTCTTCCTTCATAATCACAACAAGTGATACGGACATGGACACGGACACGACACGGACACGGACACGGACACGTCCCTGGCAGCAACATGCAAATGGAGAGTCTGCAGTTGGCCTCATCCTCATTCTTTTGGGGGAGGGATCTTACTCTATGTCCCCACGCAGGAGACGAGAGATGTTTCATCACAAACGATACAGCTGACAAGCTGGCGCGTATGTATCGTATCTTGCTCCGGCCAGGCTGAACCGACTGACTACTGACTCAACTCAGCCCGGAGTCTATATCCATCCATGCCTGCATTCGGCCATATACCACATATACCACCAGCAATTGCTATTGGGAGTTCCAATCTTGCGCCAACTACGAACTACGGGAAGTAGGGAGCCAGCAGACGGAGGCTAGAGCACTTCCACCCAGCGCCTGCATGCCTGTATGTGGTACATACATCATACATATGCAATGGATTTGGAGGAACAATGGTGCTGCTCCACGGTGATATGTATATGGAATTCACAACGAACCATCCAAGCACCTCCCTATGAGCCATCCATGCCCGCGGCCCTTAAATATCTCATCTCCGCGCTCCCGTAACTCAAGATGAGAGTTAAAACCGAAATGCATGCCAGAGCCCAATTGCTGCCCACAAGTATGGGCCACTAACACAGGGCTAAGCTGACACGCGGTCGGCCTCATTGGCTCCAAGCGCGCATTCCAACGAGTACTGAGGTATGCGTGTGATAGAGTATACTCTCCGTATGTGTGATATATCCATGCCAGCAATATGCAGTTCTGTATTGGCTCAACAGCCTCAACTACAGGGAGTACTTGTCCTGTAGTAGAGTACTCCAGCAGACACTTAAAGAAACATCGCGTGGCGCGGCGGTCCACGAAAACATCGTTGAGCCGTTTATTTCCGACACGCAGGGCCCATAGGGCATCAATTCCCTCACACTACCAAATGCCGTCCGCCGTCCCAAACCCCAGAACCCCGGGCGCAGCTCGGCGCGACAAACCAACGACAACGGCGCTTCTCTGTACTCCTGATTGTGCGAAAATGCCGTGCAGCAAATCAGCTTCTCGACTTCTTTTCATGATCAGCCTGGGCCTCGCTTGGCTTGCCACCGCCAGCGAACGCTTGCCGCTCCTCCGGGTCCCAGGTCATTGCTGCGGCTTTTGCGTAACACCCTCCCATACGCAACTTTCACATGTATCGAGAATCACGTTGTTACACGGTAGCATTTGAGATTGATGAACCGTTTGCGTACAGTAATTGGACTGGAAAGGGGGTGCATGCGCCATTTTCGCTCATATTGATACTATAGGTAGTGGACGGTGGGACCAGGCCTGTCACAGAAGCCAAGGCTGTATGTGTTGTGCTTCAACTCATTTCCCATACTCCAAGAGAGCAGCCGACTGAAAAGACTGAAGTCCCTTGTTACCCACACAGGTGGGTGTGGCACGCGGTTAGATGGGGTGCACAATCTGCAGCACGTTTCGAGAACAGCCAGGTCATAGGGCCTTCCCTTCCATCGACGGACATTTCATGGGATTTCATGTGTCGGGCGGATTCAACTGCGCAACGCCCTATTCATTACTATTCTCAGTGCCTCCAGGTCCTGATGGCCTTGTCTTTTCCTCCACTACAGACCATTTTCCCATCTGGGCTCCAGTCGACCGAATACACTTCATCTTGATGGCCAGGCAAATCTAGAACGTTGTATTAGATAAGTCTTGGTACGTTGGGGTTACGATATGGGTTAGGGGTGATGAGGGGTCGTGCGGGGTTAGTTTGTCCACGGCAACAATTGCTCGGCGGGGTACATACCAACTGCGAGCTTGTGCGTCCTCATGTCCCAGCACTTCAGCGTCGTGTCTTTGCTGCCGGTTACCAGCAGTCTCGAGTCCGGGCTAAAGGCACACTGGTACACTGGCCCAACATGGCCCCTAAGCGTGTTGATGAACTTTCCATCACGTGCGTTCCAGAGCTTCGTGGAGTTGTCGAAGGCGCTCGATGCGATGAGCAACCCATCCGGCGAGAAGGTCACATGGTTCACTTGTTTCTGATGTCCCATGAGTCTGGCGATATGCTTCGTCCCCTTAGAAGGTTCCCAGAGGAACATGGTGAAGTCGTCCGAAGCGGAGACGAGGCGCTCAACGACCTCGCCCTGGATGGTGGCTGCCTTGAGGAACCGCTCTTTCGCTGCGGCTACCTTGCCTTCCTGTGTCTCGGGGATCTTGCCGGTGTGGTCGTGGTAGGCAGTGCGGAGGACGAAGTCTGTGGACAGCGCGAGATGGTTGACCCAATGCGCGTGGGAGCTCAAAGTGTGAGCCAAAGTGCCGTCACTGACGTTCCACACCTTGATGGTCTTGTCGTGAGACGCCGAGTAGATGAACCCAGTTCCTCCCCACTTCACGCACGACACCGATCCCTTGTGTCCGCTGAATACCATATCGATCTTCCCCTGGTTTGTCGACCATACTCTAACCGTGCAATCCTTCGACGACGAGGCGAGTCTCGGCTCTCCTGGCTTCTGCATGTGGTATGGCTCCCAACTTAAACTCGTAACCCACTTTGAATGGCCCTTCATCGGCTTGCCCATTTCGCCACCAGTCTTCGGGTCCCATAAACGCACTGTGTTGTCCATACTACCAGTTGCTATTCTAATGTCGTCCGGCGACCAGCTAACGGCCAACACCCAGCTTGTATGGCCCTTCAGCGTGTGGATGGGAGTACCAGTATCGCAGTCCATTATCCTTGCGGTATTGTCACCACTACCGCTAACCATCCTGGACGAACTCCTCGGTGAGAATTGCGTGGCTAAGATGGCTTCGCCATGTCCTGGGATCGTGGACGCGCATCGCGAGACCGGCTTGACTTTGAAAACTGCTTGTGGCGCGGCAGAGATGTTCTGCACCTCTTCGGTACTTATTAATCCCGGCTGCAGGAGGGTTTTGTAGACGTTGGTAGGGAAGGCGGTGGTGATGAGGTTTATGGAGGCTTTCCTTTCTGGGACGGGGAGGGTGAAGCGATAAGGAATATGGTCAGATTCATCCTAAGATATGTTACCACCAGCACAAACAAGCAGTCAGGATTTACCAACATGGCCTTGCAGAGCATTAACAAGATTCTCTAAGTTCTTTGGGTTTGCATCCGCAACTGCAACCAAGATTGGTCCTGAGCCGATTGGGAGGCCTGTCGTCTCGTCGAAAAACTGTATCCGTAAGCTCCCCGCATCCGACGGTATCTCTTCGATAGCTTGTTGCTGTCCCGCTCTCTCTGCTGCGTCCGTTCTTGCGCGCTTGCTCGGGGGAGGTAAGACGGTCGACATTTTGTCAAATATATGCCGAAAAATCTTGACGTATATGCAGGAATATGAAGTAAGTCCCTTCAAGCGCCGTCCCATGAAGTCTCGACGAGGCTCGAAAATATTTTGGGTGCTTGGTCCGTGCTCTCAGCCTTGTGGTAGCCTTTGTACCCCACATATGTTAACTTCACGGACTTCGGCCACCAGTCCCATAGAATAATCCATATCACAGCCATAGAGGGCCAATCTGGCATTTTAATTTAAAATTCCACTCTATTGACATTGATATTTGAAAGAACGTCTTGAAAAACACTAACGAAGGATCCACAGTGCAATGTCTAGCACGCCAAGGCCATCCTCCTCCTTCAGTGCTCGAACTATCGTATCACATCGTCACGATGGAGATACTGCTTCAACATCCCAAGGGCAGAGCATACAGCGTACTCTAAGCCGAGCTACTACCCGTCCGCCGACGAGGGCTCGCTCTCGAGCTGCATCATCCATCGGCGGCGGGTTGTCACAGCACATAGTGTGTGCTGTGAGTGAAAGCCGAGGGGTATCTCCTACTGTCGGACTGGCATTTGTGAATGTATCCACTGGGGAAGCCGTGATGAGCCAAATATGTGACAACCAATTCTATGTAAGGACCGTATTGAAGCTTCAGGTGTTTGAGCCTACCGAAATTCTCCTGGTGTCTACTTCTGGTCCGAACCAAAAGTCAAAGATGTACTCTTTGATTGAAGAGGAGGTCATTGGTTCCAAGATTGTCTGCGTTGATCGTAGATATTGGTCTGAACCCGCCGGGATGGATTTCATTCAACAACTGGCCTTTCCGGAGGATGTCGAGGCCATCAAGGTTGCCACTGGAGGCAATTTCTATGCCACATGTTGTCTCGCAGCGGTATGCGAGCCATGATTTCGAAATATGAGGAAGTATGCATTCTGATCTGTGGTCTCTTTCTAGTCACTACGATATATGGAACATTCTCTTTCTCTTACATTTGCCTCTCATTCTCTTCGAATCAAGTATCAGCCATCTGAGGGCTCTATGATGATTGATCTTTCTACTATTCGGTCCCTTGAACTTATCCAGAATATTACCAATGTCAAGTCAAAGGACTGTCTGTTCGGCCTCTTGAATGAGACATTAACTCCAATGGGCTCGAGGATGCTTCGAAGCAACATTTTACAGCCTTCGACGCAAGAGAGCATACTCAAGAACCGCTATAAAGCTGTCGGCGAATTGGCATCTACGGAGGAGACGTTTTTTGACACGAGAAATGGCAAGCACATTATGGACTGTTCGATTTTTATTCTTGGTTGACTATTATTAGCCCTTAAGCCCTTTCTTGATATCGACAAGCTCTTGACTAATGTATGTTGAAGTCTATACTATTTGGGGGCCATGCTAATGTGTAAAGCTTATCATCCAACCAACCCAGCCCGACATCCAGCATTCCGAACAGTCTATCAACCACATATTGATGCTGAAAACATTCGTGCAATGTGTTGGCCCCGTGTACGAAGCATTGTCAGGCGCGAGATCACCACTGCTGGTAGACATCAGAAATGTTTGTCGGCCGAACAATATTACTCCGACGTTGAAAATAATCGGCGAAGTAATCAATGACGACGTGACTTTCCAGCGCAGTCCGCTTGATTTGCGGAATCAGAGGACATATGCAGTGAAGGTATGGCTACTATCAATTCTCACAACCAAATCTGATTTTCAATAGTCTGGTGTCAACGGGCTGCTAGATGTGGCTCGCCAGACTTTTAAAGAGGCAACACAAGATGTGCATCAACATGTTTCCGACATCAACGGTAAGTTAACAATTATATATTACAGTCATATTCATGATTCTGACACAGATAAGACCAATACGAGATGCAAATGGAGACCAGATATGATAATGCAAGAAGATACTATCTCAGGATCCAAGAATCTAATCTAGAAGGGCGGACAATGCCGGATATTCTCATCAACTGCTACAGAAAGAAGGGGTACATCGAGTGCCAGACCTTGGGTTTGGTCAAGCTTAATCAAAGGATTGAGGATTCCCATCAAGAAGTTGTTTTGATGAGTGACAAGACTGTTACCCAGCTCATTGACAATGTTCGTGCAGAAATACAGCCTCTATTTCGCGTGTCTGACAGCATAGCCATGCTTGATATGCTTGCAGCATTTGCCCAACTGGTGACGACGAGCGATTATGTTAAGCCGGAAATTACGAGGTGCCTGGCCATTAAATCTGGTCGCCATCCAGTTCACGAAAAGGCATTGATGCTTGTCTGTTTTAAAGGGGAATACTAACAGTTGACAGGCGCATTCCGAGAAGTTCATTCCCAATGATGTCTACGCGGACAAGCAACAGCGATTTCAGATAATTACCGGATGCAATATGAGCGGGAAGAGCACGTACATTCGTTCGATTGCCCTAGTGACTGTTATGGCCCAAATCGGAAGCTTTGTGCCAGCACAATATGCTTCGTTTCCCATCGTGGATCAGCTGTTTGCAAGAGTGTCGATGGATGACTGCATCGAAGCTAATGTTTCTACATTTGCATCCGAAATGAGAGAAACTGCGTTCATCCTTAGGTACGTCAGAATCGAGAAATTGGCGGCCCGTTGGACTAATAGTTTTCAGGAATATTGGAAAGAATAGCCTGGTGATCATTGATGAACTTGGGCGCGGCACCAGCACCAGAGACGGGTTGGCGATTGCATTGAGCATTTCCGAAGCTCTTGTCGAGTCTCAAGCATTCGTCTGGTTCACAACCCATTTTCGAGAACTCGGTATGCTTGTCCCTGTTCCATTGCGTAGCCCCCAACTCACATCACCAGCGCAGATAATGAACGAGCGCGCTGGCGTCGTTAACATGCACCTCAAAGTCGACATCAGCCAGGAAGACAAAATGGTCATGCTATACAAAATAGCAAACGGCTTCGTGAAAGAAGAGCACTACGGCCTCGCTCTAGCCCGAGTCGTGAACCTCCCACCCCTGGTTCTCGAGGTCGCGGAGAAAGTATCGAAGACTCTACAGGCGCAGGCAGCAGCGAAGAAGAAATCCTCTAAATCGTTTGCAATTGCACGGAAGCGGAAGTTGGTCTTGAGCCTGAGAGAAGTGCTGTTACAGGCTCAGGAGAGCGCGATGCAGGGGAAGGCGTTGATGGAGTATCTAAGGAAGGTGCAAGAGGAGTTTGTGAGGAGGATGGATTGCATTGAGAATGAAGCTGATGATTCAGGTGATGAGAGTGTGATCGGGGAGGAGGAGTTGAATGAAAACGACGACGGTAGAAATGAGGACCTGGAACGGGAAGGAGAATTCAACGAAGCCGAGGATGATAGTGATGAAAGCGAGATGACGGGTACAGACAAAACAGAGATGCTGGTTTGATTATAAGGAGAATACGCCTACCACTGGCTCCAATAGCTTCAAATATCTCGGGAGCTTTCAGCTTCAAATTACTTGGCAGAACCATAGCCTAGCAAAATATTCTAACACATCACAAGAACAATAACGAGGGATAGAGACACGGATCTATACGTAGTATATTGCCTTGGGTATCTTTCTATCAATTGATTCAAGCGCTATGCAATACCCCTATACCAGGCGCGGCTGAGACGCTATTCAAAACCTGAGGTGTTCATCCCTTTTATCATAAAAATCTAGGACAGTTAGTAATCGATCAGAGGAGATAAAATTTGGTTCGTCCATACCTCATTCAATGAAGAGCTATTCATCGCGGCAAGCCTCTTCTGTGCAATATTCCTTGACCGAACTGCATGTCGGCCAGCGAGGAGAATCGGCCGAGATGATATTTCTACAACCACAGGGGTAGTATCTGAAGAATCAGATGCGGTCTTTTCCGACTTGGATTTCTTTGATTTTGAGTTCGACTTTGACGACTTTGACGCAACGGCGCTGTCCAAGTCTAACGAATCTTCGGAGGATTTTCTCTTAGACTTCTTCTTCTTGTCTTTCTTATCCTTCTTGTCCTTCTTATCTTTCTTAGATTTGCTCTTGCCATCTTTGGATTCAGAGGCATCTTCTTCTGACTCGTTCTTCCGGGATTTCTTGGACTTCTTGGTCTTATCCACTATGGAAACGCCGCCGTCTTCCTCCACCTCAGCCAACTTCCGCTTCTTCTTTGATTTCGATTTGCCGTTTTCAGAATCAACTGACGACTCAGAAACCTCAACGTCAATCCCTTTACTCGATTTCTTCGACTTCTTCGACTTCTTCGACTTCATGACTGCCGGTTCCGGAGTTGTTTCAGAATCAGAGTCGGAACCCGAATCACTCGAGTCCTCTGAGCCACTTGAAGACGAATCGACAGCCAGTTGACGTAGGCGGTCTGCTTCTCCATCAATGAGATCTTGTATCTTATCTCCTATAAGAAACCCTCCACTGACGAATCTGATCGATCCCCACTTCCTCTCCGTGTAGATTGCCCTCTTCAAGTCCTCCCTTGACTTCTGTTCCCGTTCGATCTCATCCTCATCTCTGCCGTTCAAACGGCCAAGCAGGTTCTGAAAAACGTCCAATCCAACGCACTCGCCTTGTTCCAGCCCGCTACCTTTCTTTGCGCCGATGCCGAGATTATCGTCCTTCAGGACGACACGGATGTGAGAGGCGTTGGCCTCGGTGTGGAACTCGGCATGAGGAGCATCTTTGATACCTAGATACTCGCCAGGTATCCATCCCTGGGATTTCATGATCTTGTGTCCAAACCCAGTGGTATCCTTCGTCCATGTTGTGTTATTCGGATCCTTGGAAAGCTTTAACCGCCTTGGAAGTGTTAGCAACGGAGAATCCGAGAATTTTCTCTGCGACTTACTTTCTAGGCTCTGCGAGACCCATTTTGTGTTAACGAAACGTCGGTTGAAGTGGGAAATGTCGAACTTCAAACTCCAGTGTCACCAGAGAACTTAGAACTTCTGAATATCCCAGACGCAGGATGGGCGGCGGGCGCAAGGGAAGTGGTTTCTGTCGAGGCTTTGGGGGGGAGTAGTGGTTAGGTCGAGAATTAATAGTAAATAGTAAACAGTAACTGCAAACTCCAAGCGCCAAAGTGAATAGGCAGTCTAGTGAGGTATGCCTAGCCCAACAAGATGCGAAGCAGCAGAGCGAAAATATTGCGGCAGGAGCAAGTTTCAATGATTGTTATCTCTTGTTATCGGGAAAACTTTTGAAGATTGTGGGGATTGGATGATCGATCGGAAAAACAGTTTTTCCGTATTCCTAATTTAAAAGGTCCTCTCCAATAGGTATCAAATGCATCAAGGTGAAGCTTCAAAAATTATTCGATAACAACTGGTAAAAGTCAAGTATATACAGTCTCTTTCATTCATCTAAGTGTGTGCAAAAAGTCCGTTTTCCCTGTTTTTCGTTATTACACCCCAACTCTCAAGTTGTCACCCGCAACCTTCACGAGTCCAAGTTTGACAGGCGGCTATGTCTTCTCCTAGCGACAACGAAGAGATGAGCCCAGATGGCATCAATTCGATCTACCATGTTCGGAGGGCTGAACAAATTCTTGCAGCTGTGAGACCAACGATCAACATATGATATTCTTTCATATTAATATCCACCCCAGGGCAAACGAAAGAAGGAAGCCAAGCTGAAGGCCATCGAGAAAGAGTACACACAGAGAGTCGAGAAGGCACACACCAGCTTTCAGGAATTCCTTCAGGCTCATAATGTAAGGGTGTAAGTAGGAATCTCATTTGCTGTATATACCATCAACCTGTTTCTTTTACTCTATATAATCCTTTCCTCAACCTTGGGAGGTAGTCATGTCCATCTATCGCTGCGTATGAGCATCCGCAAAGGCAAGCAATTAACTTATATTAGCTCGGAAGCTCAGAATGCGCAAATGAAAAGCCTCAACCACGCCCTCCATAAACGCCAAGATGTGGAAATCGACATCTGGAAGCAACTCAAGGCTCTCGAGAAGTCAAGAAGAGCACTCGCAAAGCTTCTGATCGAGGTGTGCCATGCGCGCTTGGAATCTACGGCCGAGATCGGTACGACAGGACGCGTGGCAGAGAAGGCACCCAAGCTGGTATGCAACGGCCTCATATTGTACGAGTGTGATGATACTGATGACCAATCCAGTGACCAGAGGCGGCCGGAAAACTCCCACACTCTATATTGCTATACAAACTTTGCTAAATTCACCAACATACGTAAGAAAGATATGCATACGGGAGAGGACTCTTTAGGAATGCGATTACTATATGAATACACGGCCTGGACGTCAAATTGTGGGCTTGTTTTGCATCACAACCTGTGATAATAGAGCTGCTGATAACTATACAATTTAACCAACTTCCTGATACCAAACCAGAGACAGATGCTGCTTCTGTCCCTCTTACCTAATCTCAATATCTATCCTGGCCACTCCTGTCAATTGCTCAACCAAATCACGCCGATAACCGTAGTGGAGGTCATCGCGATCATTCGCCATAGCAACGGCCTCGAATGAATGATCGGTCTCAAACCTAGTACGCCTCTTCAAACAATCTCCTTCGCGGACATCTTGAGTGACAACTCGGGATTCGTGATTACGCAGACTATCCATTAACACCTCCCCTTCAGCATCTTGCTCTAAGCTCGAGCTGTTGCGCCGGCGCCGAGAGCTCCTGGTCACCTTTGGGGAGAGGGCCGAAGCCGTTCCATCAAACTGCTCCTGTTGGGAGGGCGTTGCATCGAAATCGCTACCAGGATGTGACGCAGGTCGGTCACACATTTCGATATCTCCGTTGCCATCTATTTCTCTAATAGTGCCATCTTGCACCACTAACCTCTGCATATGGTCGTGGTGAGGCGTTCCACTGTCAAGCTTCCAAGTGAGTGCCACCCCTTGCCTGGTAAAGGCCCAGATAGTAACGCCAACCCCTGACCCAGTGTGAATTGCTAAGTCGACGAGTCCTGCGCACTGACCAACCTGCTGGCCCCGAACCTCCAGTGGCCACATCGTGTTCGTCCTGCTACCATATCCGAATGTGGGCCATTCCAGGAGGCGGTCCCCGTCATTGCCCCACACAGGCATCCAGTCTGCATTTCCCCTCGCCGTTTCCCTACTAATGGTAGTAAAGGAATTGATGATGTGAGGTTGCTCTCCTCTTCCATGGCCATCAGTGAATACATCTATAGGGACACTGAAAAGCCAGATAGTTTGTTCTTTACCCAGTCCATATGCCGCGACAACTCGGACGCCCCACCGAAGGTCACAGGCTGCTGCATAGGCAACTGGACTGCCTTCACCAAGGGGGCCAGAAAACCATAGCTTTGTCAACAATTTTGTTGGTCCTCCAAACGGTGCATCACTTCCCAGGCAGAGAACACCAGAGTTTGGACCTATGAATAGCAGATGATAGCCGTCACTGAGAGGTACAGCCCGGTAATGTTCGATCCCATTTATGATGCGGCCTCGAGACTCAGATTCAATATCCGTATTAACGAACATGTCGTTAGCATCCCATCCGCCCTGGGCCGAGAATAAGCTAGACCTTTTGTGCCCAGAGAAGCGCTCACCCACAGAGGCTCTCTCTCTTGGTGTGCCTTGGCTACTCACCAAGCGAAGTTTCTTTGCTGAATCTACTCCCGTTCTAGGAGGAAGAAAGTAGAGGTGGTCGCTAGGTGCTGTAAGTGGGAACCATCGGTTTAGACCCTCTCCTGTCAACGCATCAATCCAATGCAGCTCAATCCCTGATGAACATCCAAAGGCAACGCAACGGCGCTGAGGGCATATGGCGATGGATCTTGGAGGGTCATCAGGGGAACATATGAGAGTGTAAAGCTTTGGTGGCGATGCCTCCGTTGGCATAGGATAGGAAGACGTCATCTGCGGTTCAGGTCTTACTCTCCTTTGTGCAGTCGATGTATAATAATCACCGCCAAGGTATCTCTCCCCTAACTCAGGACCTGAATATCTATCTGTCATAGGTTGTCCAGGAGCTAGGACAGAGACCCGAAGGCGTTGATTTGAAGCCTCTGGAGAGGAACGAAGAGAATGCGAAGTCCCAAGTGATATGTTCTGCCTCCAGCTCCCGCCGCGCGACACCGGGAAAACATCCGATTGTTCTTGCATTTTTCTCAAGTCTCGCGTCCTAGTCGGCCCGGGACGATTCGTGTTTCCTGTTATGGCGCACACAAGACCCATGCGGCCATCCATCAGAATAGCAATTGCATCGCGGTTTGAAGAAGTATCCATACTACAGCCAAGCACCCTTCTAGGGCAAATTATACTTGTTATTGGTCGTATTTCTCCACTTTCTATATCGTCAGCCCCTTTCCCTGTTCTATGACTTCGGTTGAGTTCATAGACAAACACCATACACCCTCGTGCCACCATGAGAAATTTAGTACATGCGCTGACGATGAAAAGCAGGCCACATGCTTCAGAACTTGAACCAGGGTAGTGGGTACCCATATTGGTAAAATCCAGTTTTGAGATGAGTCGGAATGGTGTCTTATTCGCTACCCCTTTGGGGTGTGTCGGTCTTTTCTCTGTTGGTAGAGATGGTATGCCATTCCCCCGCCAATCTGGCCCAAGAGCACATTCTTTAGCTAGGTGCTTGCTCATAAGCCATTCATCTGTCATGCGAAGGTGATCGTCAAGATATTTATTGTTGAACAACTCTCGCTGTATGCTAGCAAACCACCGACTTCGCTTCAGCATTGTCTCCAATAAGGAATGCTCCAAACTACTGATGAACCATGACCTACACGAGTGCCTGGCAGAGTTAAAATCTGAAGGCGAGAGCCGCTTGTAAACCTTGGTCAATATTTCTGGCGGAAGAACCGATGCTGTCGATGGCTTCTCCACACGGCCCTTTGGTTCATTGTGACTTGAGGTCCGTGTCTGAGGCGAGGAGGGTAAACGTTTCACATCTGGATGAAGTGTCCGGCCACTTCTTGCGGATTGTATGACTCCTCCAGCAGAGACTGTCTCGGCATGAGAGCGTGGCTTAGAGTCGCTTGTGGCGGCCAACTTTCTGGTACGAGTGGCCCATGGAATCTCCTTGCTTCTAATGCTGTATTGGTCGGACGTGCTTCTCATGGGCGGCTTTCGAGTTGAGGGGACTGGGGCTCCGCCGCTTTCCAGTATTTCATTGACACTGGCACACATTCGGCCAGGCGCCAAAGGTTCTAAAACAATATCTTCTAACTCACCAAGGGAGCTCGACCGGCCTTTATAAAACGCACTTCTTCTGGTTGGGCTTTTCTTCATAAACCGAACGTTGACTTCAATCGATGCATCATTGGCTCGATTTGGAGATTCGGCTCTTGAAAGTGGATTGGGAACCCTCCGGGTCCTTCTCAAAACTCTGCCCCTTTGTGGCCAGGAATCTTTGGGCTCGACATTGTACTTCCCCTTTGGATGTGGCAATGTTCCGCTCCCCGACAAGGTGTTTGACATATCTTCATAGCTGCCGTGGTGCTCGAGGTCTGTGTTAGCTGGCGAAGTCTGCTGGTGGAGTTCATCTAGGAAAGATCTGATATTTGTAGCCATATTCATGTAGCTCGCACATTGTGCGGACAAATTGTCGGAATCATCGATACGCACATCTGCGCCACTCATATTAGCCCGAAAGGCCTATAATGACGCCTATCCTACTAAGCCTTACCATCTTCCACAGAAGGTTGCATACTGGAAGCTAACAAAGACCCAGACGGGTCCTTTCTCCTTACGACCATGGCGTCCCTCGAATCCGAAGTTGAGTCGCTGATGACCGGGTATGGGGGAGCCGCTGACAGAGGCAGGTGACAGTTTGTCAGAGGCGTACTTTTTGCGACTCCCCGTGAAAGATGTATGTGAGAAGTCGTAGCACAATTTGCCTCGCCCGAGGCAAGATCGGCGGTAGTGTGAGTATAATAGAACTAGACGATGACCATAGGAGACAATGTATGCTCAGCAAAGTAATGATAATCAATTTGATATTGAACTGTAATGGATGGCCCCATGTCGCCTTGCTGGAGTAGGAATATGTGGTGGCGGCCTCTGGAAGTATTCTGGAATCGTTCATGGGCTTTCCAGAAGTGACTGAAGAGCCACACTGCAGTTGCACTTTCATAAACTCAGACAAGCAAGAGCGACTGGTTAGTTCACATACTTTGACGCTAAAAAAGTACATCGATGACCTTGATCAAATTAAGAAGGTGCATTCTAACTCCATGCCCCACGCTATGCCCATACAAATGGGATCCAATGGTAATAATACATATGCGCTAATCTCAGACATTGCTGTCGCCATTCTCTCGCCATATATGGGTATCTCCTAAACTCACAGAGCTCGCGGTGCTCTCTTCGTGTTCCAGTGTTCTTGCTGTTTCTCCACCGGCGCTGGGCCTCTGGTGAATCCACATTTTCTCTAACCTGATGCAAGTTAGGACAACTGTGGCAAGAGCCGGGTATTCAAGGGCACTTACGGTACTACCAAACTTGGGTTGACAAACTTTTGATCCCTTTCCCTATCTTCATCTATAGTACTGCGACGGCGGATGCGTCCGGGTGGTCGATGGATGCCGAGGTATTCCTCAGCAAGGTTGACTTCTTCATTGTCATCTCGTCGTATGCTTCGTAGCGCAATATATTTAGTTAAAGGCTCAAAAGTTCTGGCGTAGAAATAGCTAAACCACATGGTGAACATTATAAGTGGCAGGACGAGAAGAGCCGCCGTAAAGGCTTGCTTCAGAGCAATCACTCCCGCCATTGCCAGTTGGAAGATACCGAGACCCAGGATGATGCGGTAAGAGATCATAGTCCATGCTGCACCAGTTGCGTGTTGCGGGTGGTCCATTGCGTAAAGGAGTTGATACTTGTACGTGAAGTAGCCAAGGACAAAGTAAATGAGCCCAAATAAAAGGACCAGGAAGCCTGCTGGAAGTATGCTGTAGACAACGCATAAAATGAAAACAAGGAGTGATGTTGGGAGGTAGAACCCATACTTGAATACTGGTGGTTGGTCAAGTTCTGCAAAATCTCTTGGTGTTTTCGCCCCCCATCGCATGATGGGATACAAAGACACGCTGCCAAACTCTAGCAATCGCATTGGGAACAAGCCAATTCCCTGGAGCATGATAAAGTTCGTGTAGAATAATCCAAGGGTCTGTAGAGATGTCGCCAGATTGAATGCGATCTTCGTTGCATCCTTGAGAGAATCTTGCAAAACAGGCCAGATTTTACTCGCGGTTCCAAAGACTGTGAAGACCAGGAAAAAGTTGAAGAAGGTGAACAAAAAGTTTTTTGATATCACAGACAACTCCACGTCACTTTGGGAGATTGAACCTTGGTAGTTCGCAAGGAAGTCATATAAGAATGGAACTGCCACATTGAGTAAAGACACCACAAGGGTGGGAAGACCCGTTTGCACAAGAGCTCTGATAATGTCATGGCGAGACAAAACTGCTGCAAGGTTGGGAGCAAACTTTTCGATGGAACAGATGTTTAGCAACGATGCTAATGACGCAACTGGGATAAGCCAGATGGCTGTCAGAATCAAAATGAAGATAGTGATGCTCCAAGACCTCAACATTCGACTAGACCGTGACAGGTATGTGTTTGACCATACTATGTCCGATGGTGCCGGTGCAAGAAAGGCGTGGAATTGCAAAGGTGTTGGGTCAATGAGGGCCTGGACAGCCATTTGAGCAGCCGGGATAGAATCCATAGTAACAAAGGCTAGTGGAGTCGCCGTATACTCCTTTTTTCTTGCATCTTTGATCTTCTCGTCGACTCTTCGTAAATACTCCTCGTAGTAATCAATAGCATCCACTTTTTTGGTTGACAGGTTCCAAAATCCGCTTCGGATCCGGGTTGTAGGGCGCGGCTGGCCATATAATGACACTTCATTGGAGGCGATGTCCAACAAGTTATCACCCTCGTCCCGATCTTCATTTTCGTCTTGGTCAGGATCGTCGTGATATTCCCTTGGGGTTTCAGATGCGCGCTCAAAGTTTCTTTGGGCCCTTTGCCTCTTGAGGTGAACAGAGACCACTTCTTCGAGCTTTCGGAGTGTCGCTGCCCTTTCTTCCATCAAGTCATCCAGGAATTTCCAATTGCGGCAAAGAGCTACGTTTTCCACTTTGCCTATCTTCAGTTTCTCCAAGATCTCTACAATTTTTTCTTCTGATCTCAGTTCTTCTGGAATGCCCGAAATCCTTATGGTTTTGTCGGTAATCGTCGACTGGCTTCCCAGATAGTCTTGCCTGACCTTGATGATTTTTCGAGTCTCGGCAATGAGGAAGTAGATGGCCAGCCCCGTGAAAACATATGTAAACACCAGATATGCCCACAGATAACTTTCATCCTCTTCGACCTTGTGTTTGCCTTTCCCGGCTGCGTATATGTACACAAACACTTGTGATACGTAGTGGGAGCTGGAAGCATCGGCAGTCGTTTCGTTGTCGTTCCTATGCCCTCCAGTCAAGTCGAGTCCAACAAAGTGCTTATTTATGGGTGCGATGATCACTGCTGCCAAGATGAATGCGACCCCGAGGAATTTTATCGCCATCTTGAAGAAAGACAGGAACTATACTGGTCAGCTATCTATTCGTTGTCCCCACGCCAATATCAACATACCACAAACGCATCTAATCCAGCAGATGCGAGGACTTGCTCTTCTGTCACCTTGAATAGCACTGGTATCCAGCCGAAAAATGTATCCGGTAAATCCGGCAGAGCCATTGCTGCATCGCTATGTCGTTTTCGGGCCGCATAGAGGCTCTTCCATCGCGGACGTAGTAGCTACGCATGGCGGTCAGTATATTGAACCGCAAAATACTCGATGGCACCCCAAAACCTACGCAAAATGCTATGAAGGACGAAACACCCAAAGCCATCGAGATGACAAGTTGGACATAGATATCCTTCTCGTTGGCCTTCGGACTGATGACATCGTCACCTTGGCACTCTTCGAGAGAGCTGAAAAGAGAGACGCTCATCTTGCTCACATATTTCTTCGAGCAAACGATGAGAAAGATAACTTGGGCTGATCTTCAGAAGGCTATAACATCATGGAGATTGTGCCTGGCTTGGTCTTAGATGACTGTGATTATGACATAGTTGATGCCACCCCTGTTACTTCATCACGTGATTCATGTATTTGCTGAAGAACATTATTGGATGCGAATGAACTGTAAAACGGACATTCTACATAATCTGATTCTATAGATTGATAATTGATAATGTCTAAAAAGGCAGCAAGACAGCCGAGGCTCGTTCACATTGATCCGGCAAAATAAGAAAAGCACAAAACATTCACCAACAAGTCTGTTGCATGCAACAAGGTTACAAGGCTAGGGAGCATCGAAGTAATAGGTGAAGGAAGGCGCATTGGAGTCCGATAGGGGAAAGTGAGAGCTATGGTCAACCCAATGGCGCCCGCTTGCTCCGAAGGTCATCCAGAAAGACAGGCAGGAAAAATTGATCAAAACAGGGATCGGTTCGGGTCAGAAACAAGGTCCGGTGGCATATTAGACGGTAATTTGCTGGATTGCTGGGAATAACGAGCATGCCGCTTGGATGGGCAACTTCGGCAGAGGGGGACTCGCCAAGCCACCGCATGGAAGCGTCGACGTCGAGAATTCCCTGGGTATGCGAACCCATCATCGCAGCGAGCTAGGTGTCCTCCAGGTCGGTTGTGACGCAGATCCGACTTCGATGCGAATGTTCCCATAAGCCCAATAGCCTTCTGCCGCATATCATCACAGTATTCGTCGCACATGAAGGACAAGCCTGGGGTATTTGGAAATCGTTGTATTTCTGTGTGCTTTAACGCCCCTCAGCCAGTATCTGGTTGAAACCCAGCCCGCAGCTAATGCTTGCACAACCAAAGAAGACCCTTTTCTTACACCCAGGCACGCTTATCTCAACCTTCTTGCCTCACGCTCGGACTCGAGTAGGCACAGGATATCATCCTCACGGACTATTGTAATATGTCAGCACTCTCCTTCCTCAAATCCAGTTATGGGTCGTCGCGGTATATTGGTCCGGGAAGTTCGTACCTGGGCCCTTGACGTTGCGGATAATGCTGCGGGTGGTGTCGTCCATGAACTCAACTCTGACCTGAGTAACACCTCCACGGGAACCTAGAAAACTGTCAGGGCTTCGTCTTCCGAAATTACCACGCGATTGCGTTCGCTGCGGCTACTCGATTGTGCATACCGGTACGGCCCAAAACGCGGGTGACCTTAACGAGCTTGACTGGGACCTTTGAGGTATCCATTTTGGCGAATTCTACAAACTGTCAGCATGTCGGCGGGCAGATAATTCGGGCTCTGCACAACGTACATGAGTGATCGGGTCGTGGATTCGGAGGGGTTTGAAAGCTCGATGTCGTCGGCGGATGATTCCTACGCTTTGGGTCAAGAATTCTCGAAATCGCTTGTAGGGCTCCAGAAGCGAGAAACCCTATTGCGATCGGCGAAACGTACACCCGAAGGATGACTCGATTAGGCTTAGCGTTTTACTTCACCGCTGAATTCTAAATGCGGGCTGTGAATCGGCGGTTCCTGTGCCACGAGTTTTGGAGAGGTAAATCATTGGTGGGATACAATATCGGGATATTGGAGTCAGAGTCGGAAGATCGAGACGGAATATCTCATTATAATCCTATTAGCTCCCCAAACAACGCAATTTAATTTCAGGATCAACTACCTATTGACTGCTTCAATTGCGAGCCTTTTACAAAGTTCTCCGACCCGGTCTGTACTGCGCGATATTTGGTGATACAATAAAGAGGGTGACCCCCCACCCCCTCTCCTCTTCTTCTTCTCTACGATGGATCTCGTAAACCAGTACGTGAATCCCCTGCTTCAACAGTCAAGGAAAGCCAAGCCAAACTTAGCGCGCCATGGGCTACATCAGCAACGACACTGACCTCATTCGTCTCAGCCTCGAGGGACGACTCCTCTTCGCCGTTCCAAAGAGTTAGCAGCTTCTTCCCCTGCAAAACTACTGCCCAACTGCTTACACCATCCAGAGGGCCGTCTCAATGCCACCGCACTAAACCTCCTCGAAGGAGCCGACATCCAGTTCCGCCGCGAAAACCGCCTCGACATCGCGCTCGTCAAGAACCTCCCCATCGCCCTCGTCTTCCTCCCCGCCGCCGACATCCCTACATTCGTCGGAGAGGGTCAGGTTGATCTCGGTATCACGGGCTTCGACCAGGTCGCCGAGCACGATGCGCGCCGCCGCGCTATAGTCCGCGACCAGGCCGAGTCTGGGAAATCAACACCCGTGGAGGGCGCCCAGCCGAAGGGCTGCGACCAAATCCTGGATCTCGATTTCGGGGCTTGCAAGCTGCAGGTCCAGGTTCCCGTTAATGGGAAGTACAGGACGCCTACGGATCTGATTGGCAAGAATATTGGCACGAGCTTCGTCAGTCTTGCGGCTGAGTATTTTGCTAAGTTAGAGGCTGAGGCTGATGCTGCGAATGGTGAAGCACCGGGCCCTAAGCCGCTCAGGACTAAGATCATTGAGTTGAGCGGTAGTGTTGAGGCTGCTTGCGCGCTTGGTGTTGCGGATGGAATTGTTGATCTCGTTGGTATGTCATCTTCCTTCCATTTGAAGAGCACCAAATTAACCGCGCCCTAGAATCCGGAGAGACGATGAAGGCAGCTGGTCTAGAAGCCATCGACACAGTCGTGTCCACGAAGGCTATCCTGATCAAGTCAAAGAACCCTTCCAACAAAGCAATGGTCGACCTGATCGCCTCAAGAATACAAGGTGTTATTTGTAAGTTTCCCCCCTGCCTCGTTTCCAGGATCAGTCCCTAACTACCATACCAGCCGCAAAACAATACGTGCTGTGCCAGTACAACGTCGAGCGCAAGAATCTCGACGCCGTTACCAAAGTCACCCCCGGCCGTCGCGCTGCCACCATCAACGCGCTGGAAGAGGAGGGCTGGGTCGCCGTGAGCTCGATGGTGGAGAAAAATAGGATTGCGACGGTGATGGATGAGCTGGCGAGCCTTGGAGCGGAGGACATCCTGGTACTGGGTATCTTGAACACACGTACGTAGTGGGGTAGTGTTGTTAAAAGCCATTTGTGAAGTATTGGTAGGACGCATAACTGTTGAAGTCAGTCTAAATACAAAAAGTTGACCTATTGGCATCAGTCGGATTAATCCAATCACACATTTATCATAGTCTAAGTCTTAATGGCGGGTATTGTGTAATGGGGGTAGTGGGGTTGGGTCCGCCCCATCGAAATACCACCACCTTCAAAAAATCGAGAATATTAAATTACTACCATCCTAATTCATCTATATCACTAGTTATCATATAGATCCTCCACACTCCCATCATCAATTAAATCAATTATAGATGTTGTAACTTGTGGTGTTGTTGATATTTTCGACTTTTGTGTTACTGTTGCTAGAGTACTTCTGCTTCTGCTACTTGCGACCGCAGCTTCTCAGTAGAGATATGGAATTGACCCTTCAAAACTGCTCTCTTGCCCTTGCTCTGTTCTCCGCATTTCTAGATAATTGAGCGTAGGTTATCTGTCTCTCTTTGATAATGGGGTGGCCACCCCTACTATGTCGGTTACCCAACTCTGTCGGTTACACCTCCACCTACGTTAGTGTGATAGAGTTCTGTTATACTGTAGTGTGACAGTCCCCTTTCCTATTTGGGCACGTGGGGCCGGAGTATGCACCTTGGCATTAGGTACGCCTTACCAAATATGTTCCTATTACACGCTAAAAGTGTGACAGTAACAGTTGCTAAATTGCTCTTGATTAAACCAGTCGACCACGCAAAAGTTAAAGGTCACGTGATCTAAACCGAACTTATCGTCCACATCACTCGAGGAGACGGGCGATGGTCCCTCGCCGAATTCGAAGGGAACAAACCGATTTTGATCGGGGACAAATTTGATGACGAGTGGATGGATATTGCTGAGATCAAGGGATTCAGTCGAAGTAGCCTTGTTCCATTTGCCTGGCACGACCCTTAGGTCCGACTCGAGCCTAATAGTATCACTCGCGATGGGGTCATGTCGATGGAGCAGATGGAAGCCGAACTTCCCAAGCTGGCCATGGCGAGTAATGATCTCCACCAGTTCCTTAACATGATCTGCGTCGACATGCATCTCGGGCTGGATGTGCAAAAGACCATTGTACCTTTCAATGGGTCAGCATGGACTCGTGGGCCTAGCAGTAAGACAGCTGGGCTTACATGGTGGTGGACTCCTTCAAGTCATCCTTGGTCAAGGGCCGGTGAAGGCCAGGGATGTGCACTGCCATCATAACGTCGGCTGTAGCCATTGTGGGGGATCGTTTGCTTTGGAAGGAGATGGTCCGAGATAAGGCTGGTGTTTTGTGGCTTGCTTAGTTTCGTATGTAGTGGCGGGAGAAGATGGGGATCTTGAGGGCTGATGGCCGAAAAGGGGGACAGTCTGACCCTATACATATGTCATTCCTGCTTAGCAAGAATGGAGCATCAGCCCTGTTCGTTATTGCTCAGAGGATGTACTGCGGGTTGCTTAAGCGTTCTCATGTCTCACAACATTGGTGCAGCCGAGCCCCATCCACACGAAAGTTTTCCATCGCGTGCCAATAGGCAGCAGCTTCGTGTGGTTGGTGAGAGGAAAGGGCTCCAGTTTGAGTAACCTCGAGAGTATAAAAATACCTTACCCCGATGAGCTCAGAGCTCGGACTTTGACGCCACGGTGGAAAATCCAGACCGGATCTCGGTCAATCGAGAGGAATGAAGATAACTGCCGTTAATCACCCCCCTATCTGACATTCAGGTCATGAGTCACATGTGAAGTGAAGTAAAGGAGTGAAGTGAAGTGAAGTGAAGTGAAGTGAGTGGAGCGGAGTGAAGTGGAAGGGAGTGGTGTGGAGAGGGAAGCGAGAAGTGGCGAACTATTGAAGACTGCATTCTCACATATAACAGCAGAGCTAAGGCAACAAAAGCATGTCTGCCTACTCACCCCAATTTTAAACGCGTCATTCACCGCCATGCTTCAGGGGCAAGATCGTCCCATAGCCGCCTACACATTTGCAATTTTTGCTCTTGTACTTTACTTCGTCAACACATTTTTTCAGTGGTGGACAGCGCACAAGAAGTCCCTGGTGTACTTCCGCTGGAAAACTTCCATTGGAGCAATCAGCTCGGCATGTGTACTTTGCCTAGTACTTTATGTCGAATTCGGGTCTAGCTGGGAAATGGTTATCACAAGGCGACGACGAAGACAGCGGCGATGATGCAGATAATGAGAGTTAGAATAGTAATAACGTAACGTATGGGGTAGTCGGACATATGGGGTAGTCGGACATATGTGGTAGTCGGACATATGGGGTAGTCGGACAAAAAGTTTATTCTACTCTAGTTGACCGAGTCCTACGTGCCACACACTCCTCCAATTCCAATTCTGGGTCGCTTGAATCGTTCTCTACCTCTTCCTCTTCAACTTCCTCGTCTACTTCTTCAATTGGCCGTTTGCGTGGCCTTCCACGTGGTCTTTTCTCGGTTGACTTCAACTCTGCCTCCCGGACAATTTTCAACACTTCCTCAGTACTGAATACAAATTCGCCTTGCAACTTAATTCTCTTGCCTGTAGTTCTTTTCTTTCGTGTCTCAAGTATCTCTTTGTACTCTTTCACCTCCTTCCGAAGGATGCTGAGTTCAGCATTCTGACTTTCAACCAACCTAGTCATTCTCTTGGCATAGCGTCGAGTTGGTGAAGCAGGAGAGTCACAAGCTGCCATACTTGAATTAAATACTAAACTTGCATGCCTTAGTTCAGTTCCATCTGGAGGAGAACTTCGGAGTATTGAGAGATCCAGAGTAGTGATATTGGTTGAGTTTTGAGGAGTGCGAGGTGGTTCGGTTGGTGGAAGTGGAAGGTTAGCCAGAACTCTTTCTGGGAGAAAGGGTATTAAACCCGCTGCCCTCCACCCACTTCTAATATTTTGAGGTATAAGACCCTTCTCTCGAATACACCGGAAGATTTCAACCCAGTGGGAGCGCTGGATTCGCTTTATTCCTGCTCGAGTATACCGATCTACTTCCTGAGCATGAAATCGCTTAAGAGGTCCATACACCCCAACATCAAGTGGTTGGAGTAGATGAGAGCAATGAGGTGGTAGAATAAGAAGGTCGATGTCATTCTCAATGCACAGTGCAATCATATCGCCAGTAATGTGACTAGAATGGCCATCCATAATCAACATTCGCGGGTGATTTCCAGACTTTTTGCATGACTCAGGCTCAAATACCTTCCGCAACCACTCAAATCCATGACTGTTTGAAGTCCAGCCACTATTACTTGTTGAGAAGTGCCAGTTTGTAGGGGTGTCCTTTGGAATCCAACTTGAATTGGTATTCTTAGCCTTGAATATAATCATAGGTGGTAAAGCACCACCGTCTGCATCAATGCATTCAAGTACAGTTATCCACTCCTGCTTCCCAGTGTCATACTGACATTCGTTGCACTCAGTTTGCTATCAAACTCAAGAGCAAACTTAGAAATCTCCTCCTCAAACCTACAAGTCACTATACATATTTTGGCTTGTCACACCAACAACAAGAGCAATACTACTCAACGATTGCTACAACCCTCTATGATTCATTACAAGTCATTGCTCCTTAGTTACTGGGCCGATATGGCCACATAGCATATCTCTACAACCCTCTATGATTCATTACATGACATCACTCCTTAGTTACTGGGCTAATACTACCACATGGCATATCTCTATCAACTAGAGGCCTAGGAACATGAATGATAGCTCTAGAAGCTTCTACAACCCTCTATGATTCATTACACATCATCGCTCCTTAGTTACCCACAAGATTGGTTAATTTATGACATAATCTGTCTATAGGGGTACTCTGACCTTGGACCTCCTTTCACTTCCTATAGGCTAGGAACCTAAGAAATGGTTCTATGGGATTCTCTTACGTTGACTACAGTTACCAAGCCTGGTTAGTCATGGAAAGTCATGGAAAATGAGAGAACTACACTCCTTTGGCATAAATAGGATTGCCCTTTCCTTAAGAAAGGGCAAGCAGACAATACAGTAAATCGACTATCACATACTTCTATGTCTTTTCCAAGCTTCCAAGCATTGATCTGGTTACTCCTTGTTTCTGAAAAGTCAGTGAGGTGCTAACCTATGACTTATCACTGAGTTCTCAGACTCAACATTTGTACAACTTGTCTAAACCACTCCACTACATCATACACTTGATTGCTGCGTTGTGGAATAGTCTAAGCTACAACCCTTTGGCTCTATTTCCTAAGACAGTGTGTTGTCTTAGTAAAATCATTCCCTTCCTTACAATTACTTAGTTATTAAAAAAACAAGTTAAAAAACTTAAATACAGGGGTAATTTTAAGCGAATTAGCCAATAAGCTTAATAAGCCCTCGAAAATTAAAATCCTATTTATTTATATAACACTAAATCTATATTTTTAATTTTATGATTTTATAACGTACATGTATAGCGAAAGCGCCAAACAAGCGAAAGCGCCAAAATTATCTACCCTCACGACAAACATTGCGATAAATCTACCACAACATTAGAAATCAATTGAAACTACTCGGAGTCCTCTTCCTCAGAGGTGTCTATTACAATCTGACACGTGCGCGCATTGTGCCCAGTCTCACCACACTTGCCACAGCGACGGGCACGGGTTTCTTCCCTTGGCTTCCGACCACGGCTTGCCCTTATTTCCTGCTCTACCTGCTGCACAACATCCCTCTCATCCTGTAGCTCTTGCGCCCCTTGTTGACTAAGTGATCCTCCTTGCTGTAGTCGTGTTTTCCTAGCTCTCCGGCGCTTGCTTAGTACTTCATTTGCCTGTCGTAGGTTTTGGTTCTCTCCCTTTAGCAGTGCTAATTGATGCATTATTTGCGATGCACCCTTTGTAAACTGGTCAACAGCTGCATAGATTGAGGTTGGAGAGCTATTTTGATGGCGTGAAATCCGAGTTTTAATAAATGTAGACTGTGACATAGCTTCAATTGGGTTGTTTGGTGTCTGAGAAACCCAAGGTTGAGCAGTACCTGGGCGGGAGCTTGGAGGCGTTGGTGTCCTTAACTTAAGATCAAGTGTAGATATCACTCTCTCAGGGTCAAATGGAAGAAGCCCTGCCCCTCGGAACCCGCCTCAAATGTTACTTTCCGTCATTGTAGTGTTAAATGCAGCGTGGAAGGCAGGAAAGAAGTCATCCTTTGTAATATGAGAAATATGAGCCTGCATCATATCTTCAATTTGCCGACCATAGGCCTGCTTTAACGGGCCGAAACAGCCAACATCAAGTGGCTGGAGTAGATGAGAAGAGTGAGCAGGCATACAAAGCGTAATAATGTTGTGTTCCTTGCAGTACTCCTCAAACTCATCTGAGTGGTGGCTCTCATGACCATCAAGGACTAACAAGCGATAACCACCAACACTCCGGGCCTTTGTATGCTTCTCAAAGTGCTGAATCCAATCCATGCCTCTCTCGTTTGTAGTCCAGCCATTTTCAGTAACAGAAATCACCCAATCGCTTGAAAATCCACTATTCTCATACCAAGATGTAAGGTGGTTTTTGCCTGCAACAATGATAAATGGTGGTACTGCCCAACCTTGAGAACTAACGCCTTGGATTACTGTAACCCATTCCCGATTACCAGGCTGTACCTTCTTTGCTTTTGCCCGCCCGTCTGAGCTTGTTACAACCATAGCAGTTGAGATAACGCCCATCATAAACCCAGTCTCATCAAAGTTGTAGATATCTGCTTCATCGATACCATATTTCGCAATTGTGTTACGCACAAGCTCAAACCAGCCATTAATAACTTCTGGATCTTCGCACTTAGCCCTCTGGTAGTCGTATTTGCGCTGAAAGCGTGTCTGGAGCTCTACACGCCGCTTAACAAAGTTTGAAGCCCAACGCGACCCAACGCGTGACGCGTCGCGTGTTGCAAGTAGTCGACTTGCCATATCTTCAACAACAGACAGCCGAGGAGGAAACCCTTTGGCAGCTAGGTCGAGTATATACTGAACAAGGACGGACTCCTCTAGGTTAGTTAATTTCCGTGAGTTGGCTTGGATATCGCGTCGTGAAGGTACACCTTCTAGATGACGACCTAGCTTGCGGTGGTCCACAGAATAGATCCTAGCAGCAACTCGAAGGCGTAACTTTGGGTCGCTTTGCATAGCCTGGATAGCTAGCACTAATTGGCTTTCATCGTTTTTATGGGGCATGTTTTGTTGTTGAGGAATTTAACATTTAGTTGGGGGGTTTGGTCACCGCATCATTTTGGCGCTTTCGCTTGTTTGGCGCTTTCGCTATACATGTACGTTATTTATAAAGAAAGAAAGTGCATGGTTATGCACAGATGTTTTTTGTATGTAAAAAAAGTGATCGGCTCGCATGATCGACTCAGTGTACAACCACGTTATATAGTTTTTATTTAATTATACTTATATTTTCTCCACAACCAGATATGGAAACTGCATCAAAAGAAAGCCTTATGATCCTTGCCCTCCAGGCTCTGAAAAATGACTCTAAACTTAGCGTACGAAAGGCTGCTCAGATATATAGAGTCTCTCCAACAACCTTGACACGTTGCCAGAAAGGAAAACCCTTTCAAGCGGAAACAACAGTTAAATCACGAAAACTTTCAAATCTAGAAGAGAAGACTATTGTTCAGAGGTTACTTAAGCTAGATTCCCAAGGATTTCCTGTACGAATACGTGGTGTTGAGGATATGGCAAATTTACTTCGTCGCGAATGCTACACGTCACCAGTTGGAAAGAATTGGGCTGAAAACTTCATTCGTCGACAACCAGAGCTCCAGACACAAAAAACGCATTCGTACGATAATCAGAGGGCATTATGTGAGGATCCAGAAAAGATTCAGGATTGGTTTACGCTTGTAGCCAACTTCATAGCCAAATTTGGGATATGCGTTGAGGATATATACAACTTTGACAAGACAGGGTTTTTGATGGGCATTCTTGGGACTACTACTGTTGTAACAAGCTCAGATCATACAACTAAGCCTAAACTGATCCAGCCTGGCAATCGAGAGTGGGTGACAGTAATTCAGGGCATCAATTCACAGGGCTGGGCTGTCCCGCCATTCATTGTTTTTAAGGGCAAATGGCATCTCGCTTCCTGGTACGAAAAAGAGTATTTTCCAGACGAATGGAGGATTGCTGTCTCTGAAAATGGCTGGACAACAAATGAAGTCACTCTAGAATGGCTTAAGCACTTTGAGAAGTTTACTCGTCCAAAGACAGTAGGTACTTACCGCCTCCTGGTCCTAGACGGCCATGAAAGTCACCACTCAGCTGCCTTTGAAGAATACTG